AAAGGGGATTACCAACCCTTCCACCTCCGTTGGCAGTTGTGCACAAGAGAGCCAAGCGAGTAGTAGTCATTAATTGAAGCAGAGTTTTGAGACCGTTAGCAGTGAGGTCTCTGTTTTAAGTGTGATGAGTGATGGAACCTAGGCCACAAGTGTCACATTCATCAGCTAAACTTATTGTTGGTGGAGGAAGGAGAGGAAGAAGCTAAGCAGTGTTCAGAAGAAACAATTGTAGCCACCAAACAAGAAGTCACAAAGAGGGCTTTCCAACTCTCAATGCATAGTCTTTTCTAAGGCTCTCTTCAAGTCAAACTCTCAAAGGGCAAGATTCAAAGAAATAGGGTGGTGGTAATGGTGGATTATGGAGCCTCAAACAACTTCGTAAGGAAAGGGATTGTGTTGAAGAACTGGGGATGCAAGTCATAGATACCCCGCGTTTCTATTTGACATAGGGATTTAGAGGTGGGAATATACCCAAGAAACAACTAGAAGGCCAGAACTATTAGTAATTGTTTGTATAAGATTAGTTAGGTAGTTAATAATAGGTTGTCAGGAAGTTAGAGAATTAGAATCACACATGTGTACAAAATGGGCATAGTTCCCACTATGAGGCACTTTTTGGCTGAATTAGAAAGTAACTGAGTTCATTCTCAGTGTGAAGAGAACTTTACCTTGTGGAGAGCTTTGCTCTTGTATTCTTCTTTGTAAATTCATCAATAATACATATCCTTTCACCCATTTTCCATATCTTTCCATCATTCCTATTACCCTCATCATTGTCAAATCTTGCTAGTAAGAATCCAGAGCCAAAACAAGTGGTCTGAACTATCGGATTCGTGAAGGGATGGGTTCCACGGAAGCAAGGCTAGATGCTCTAGAACAATCTTTCGATCTTTTTAAGAGGGACCCAATCGCAAAGTGAAAGCTTTGGATAAGAAGTTGGAATGCATTGAAGAATTTTGTTTCTTCGTAAAAGGTTGGATGGAGAAGCACAATATGGACGTCTCCAATGACAACACCCACCATGGCATCTCTATTAGCAAGACAAAAGGTACGTCTTGATAGCAACTACCCAAAAAATGAGTGATACACTATCCATCGGCAACTCCACCACCACCAAAGTTGTTGGAGACAAGTTTGCATGCAGCAGATGGTAGGACATTTCTAACTGAACGGTTGTGGGGGTGCAATATGTAGCGCAGAGGAAATTTTGGAGATTTTGAGAAGATGAAATCAAGGAGGTCAAAATTGAACTTTTGTAAAGCATAAATTTTTGTTTTTGCCTTATAGACTAATCTTGAACTGAATTGAGTCCAAGGAAATATGAGACATGGATAAGTGCAAAATCTATAGGGGTGCATCGACAATGGCTAGGATCTGGAATGAACAAGGTGGGTCACATCTCCCACCACACCACCTTTGTGGGAGTGTTTCTGTCATTTTTCGTCGGCAAGGTCACGATGCCACTAGCTGAAAATACAAAAGACATTTGTGACATGCTAGACGAGTTTGTTGATTTGGGTGGGTAGTCCGATGGAAATCTCACAGAAATGTTAGAGATGTAACAATACGGGTGTAGCAAGAATGTGTTGAAGCGATCGAAGCCTCATACCTCAAGTTTTTCAAAGATAGTGGTCCCCCGTTCAAAGTTTATCAATAGATTAACAGTTTCATTAAGAGAGAAAAGATAAATATGAACAAGGGTCTGAAGAAGCTTCGCCACCTCAAGCTCTATCGCCCTGCTCTCAAGCTAACAGAAATCATGGCTAAGAGGAACAAGCACAAGACCTTTGGTGACCTTGCTATACATCTAGATCTGCTTGCAAAACGTATCGTTAATGCTAGAAGTTATTATGTTAATCTCCCTGAATCTAAACGAATCCATGTTATGGTGCCCTTCTTTATCGTTACTACAAGGAATTGGGGAATGACAAAACAGAAAATCTACTGAAAAAGATAAAGGACCTTAGTCTTCCTTCAAGTTCTAAAGTTACTGAGATTAAAAGCGATGGTCAAGTGATAGGGGATTTGACAACATATAGCAACTTAGCATTTATTTTTGCTGATGTTGGCTTGCTTATGAAGGTAGAAATGACAATTAAGGAATCATAAGAGAAAAATGATTGCAAAGATCTTTCTGCTTGCCAAAGGCTTAAGGCTGTGGAGAAAGAGAATTCTAGTCTTAAACTTGGGTTGCAATCTCGTCTAGAGGAACTCAAATTCAGGGTCAATGAAAGAGATTTGAGTACCCAGGCTACTAAAATAGCAAGTAAGAAACATTTGGAGAGCTTCAAGATTGTTGTTAAGCTTGACATTAAGTGTCATATACTAGAAACCATGCTCCATAATATATTTTCTGCTAATGATCACATATCTTTGACTGCATCTTTGGTTTCTATTGAGTCTTTCACAAATAACATGTTAGGAAGTGGTGCGAGGTTACTAGTAGTTGATGGTGATGAGTAAATTAGGTGGCAGGAAGATGAATGAATGTGAGCCTTGCTGTTTTGACTCATCGTTATCCACTTTGGTTATGGAGTTTGATCAAGTTAAGAATGAAATAGCTTCCAAAAAAATTATATGGTCTCTTCAACTAAGACCAATTTCATGAATGATTTCCTTGAAATGGAAAGGCTTACTGCATTGGTAGATACAGAAAGCAAGGGAAAATTTTTTAAGTTTGGTATACTGGCTTATACTGGGGAGCATATTGGCAGCATCAACCTTCAAGAAAGTGTTGTTGGGGGGCATACCACTACCATGCGGCAGTAGCTTTCAAACTTCAAATTTTAGGACAAGGTTGTTTTATTGGGGGATGGTATCGTTATGACTTGTATTTAACATAGGAGTGTGGAGGTGGGAATATACCTAGGAAACAGTTATAAGGCCAAAATTGTTAGTAATTGTGTATATAGGGTTAGTTAGGTAATTAGTGACATACATAGATTGTTAGGAAGTTAGAGAGTAAGAATCACAGATGTGTACAAAAGGGGCATACTTCCACTATTAGGCACTTTTTGGCTAAGTGACTGAGTTCATTCCCAGTGTGAAAGAAACTCTTTCGTGTGAAGAGCTTTGCTCTTGTATTCTTTCTTTGTAAATTCATCAATAATACAATTCCTTTCACCAATTTTCCATATCTTTCCATTGTTCCCAATACCCCCATTATTGTCAACTCTTGCCACTAAGCATTCAGAGCCGTGACAATATCAAGTTGAGGTTGGGAATGGCCACTAAGCATTCAATGCTGGTACTTTGCCTATCATCCACAAAGCAATTGCAAGACCAAAGTAGTAATTAAGTGTTTGGAGGTGTATTTGAGGTGTTTTTGTGGCCTAAACCCAAACAATGGCCTAGGTGGATCCATTGGGCCGAATTCTGGCATAATACAACTTATAAGGATGCCTCTAGTAAGACATCATTTAAGGCATTATATGGAAGAGACCCTCATATTCTTTTAAGGCATGGCATTTATGTTTCTGCCTTGTAACTTTTTTTTTTTTTCTGAATCCTAGCCAGAAAGAGAATCCATTTTGCAAGATCTTCATTCGAATTTGTTGCAAGCCAGAATAGGAGGACTATCCATGCAAATTAGAACAAAAGAGAGGTACATTTCAAACTTGATGATCTGGTGTATTTGAGGTTAAAGCGATAAGAATAGGAGGACTATCCATGCAAATTAGAACAAAAGAGAGGTACATTTCAAACTTGATGATCTGGTGTATTTGAGGTTAAAGCGATATAGGTTCAAAACTGTTGCTAGAAGGGTGAATGAAAAGCTTAGGCCAAGGTATTATGAGCCTTTTTTGGTGTTGGAATGTATTAGGGAGGCAACTTATAAGCTTCAATTACCAGAAAATTATCAAGTTCATCCGGTGTTTGGTGTTTCACTTCTCAATAGAGTTAATACATCCCAACTTAATGTTCAACCATTGCCATCCGTTTTGATTGATGAATGAGAATTACAAGTGGAGCTTGAAGACTTGGTACAGTGGCAGCATCCAAACAAAGGTGCTTTGGAGGTATTGATCAAGTGGCGCATCTTACCAAAATTCGAAAACATAACGGAGGACTATTTCGGGATTAATAGGCAATTTCCAGATTTTCATCTCGAGGACAAAGTGCTAAAAATGGGGGGTGGGAGTATTGATGCGATTCAGCCCCTAAAAGAATACAAGAGGGATAAAGGGAGGAAAAGGTGGGTCCCCAGCAGCTGCTAACTCAGCTAGGTTGTTGCAACCATCATAACTGACTTTAACACAGTGGGAGGTGGTTTAAAAGAGCAGGGGAGTAAGGAAGTGGGATCATCTGGAACCTTGGCTGGGATTTGGATCTAGGAGAGAATGGAGCATCTCCAATTGCTCTACACTCTTCATTCTTGAATTCCAGTTCTGTAATATTTTCCATTAGTGTCTATTGGAGTTTACTTGTAATAGTCATCAAATTCCTTGTAATTTTGAGTTGAGGTGTCTCTGTATATTGTAATTCTTCCATATTAATAAAAACCAGTTTTAGACTTTTAGTTTCCAATTCACATTTTTAATTAAGTTACGTAATTTTCTTAGAGTGTGGTTGGAACTTCGTCGGGGCTGTATCATGAAAGCATATGAGTGAATGACATCACATAAGGGTATCAGGGAATTTAGAATTGGGACTTGGCAGAGAATAAGAGAACCCTCCAATTTGCTCTGGCTTTGTTTCTGTTTCTTCCTTCATTTTCTGTTCATTTACATTTGCATTTTCCTGCAATTTTCATTTCTGCTTTTGACACTGGCGTAATGAGAACTGCAACTATAATATATCCACATAATTTTCAGCCTTTTCCCTTCTTTTTTGGGTTGAGTTTGTATCAGACTCTCATTCAGCTTTCTCACATACCATTATTTGTTTAACAGCACAGTGGCAAAAAGAATGTAGGACTGGTTTAAATGGTGACTGGAAATAACATAAAATGTAATCAGTTAAAAAATTGTTTCGTTCAAATTCAGGAGAGATAAATGTACCCTGGAATGGAATATGTGATGATCATTGAAATCTAATTGGTCAACATAAAGTGCTCCCATCTGCATCAAGTTATCTGCACTTAGAGATAATAAACGCAGAAAGAAATAAGCGGAATAATAAAGGGAAAATCCACTTAAAAAGCTATAGCTAAATAGCGTGGCAGACAAAGGGTTGGTGTGTGTCACTCTGGGACACCCATTACCCTTTCCTGTCTTTCAATTCCAAAGACGTTGATCCTTTTCTAGCATATATTACTATAATATACATCAGACAGTAATGACAAGCAGCTCACCCACTTACTTAATTATTTAATTCATCTACTGTATAGCTATTTTACTTATTGTAGAATGCTTTCAAGTTTAAGAATGTCATGACTAATGATTTTGAATTTTAACATGTTAGGATGAAATAGTCAATTGACATATTCGTATTTAGATTAATCTCCAACGGTTATCTTAAAAATACATCGTATTTAGATAAGGAAAGATAAATGATGAGGAATACCTTCTGAATCTGCTTCACAAAAGGTTCTGCAGAACCAATAGCAGAAACACATAATATAGTAGCTTCATGAAGAGCTGTCAATGGTATTTTGGCATTGACAATTCCCACCTCAAATAAGTAAGTTGGATCCATTTTTGTTAAGAATATAGGAACAGAGTCTTTAATTCCTTGGACCATTGAGTAAATATCCTTGAGAACATGCTCAGAAACCTGTGAACCTCCCAAAGTACAAATTTCAGTATTGTGTCATGTTTTTATAAATCTGCAAGCCTACATGCAACCTAAATGAGCAAACGCAAACAGATGAAAGACAAAACTAGCAAAAAGAATTTGCAAAATATTTTGTTGAAAAAGGAACTTTTAACATACCAAGTCTGCATGATGGATTACAACTACATCTGCTCGCTTAAGTGCAGTCAAAGGTTCCCTTAAAGGTCCAAGTGGCATTAGTTGAAGGTTACCCCAAAGAGTTAATCCATTAACCATTACAATATCCAAATCACGCCACAAGCTCCAATGCTACCTTACATGTAAATGATATGATTGAGGTGTTTTTATGATCATCATTACGAAGAAAATCACGAAATATTATATCAACAAAGAAAGAGATGGGGGGGTGGGGAAGTGTTGCATTACCTGCATTGCATCATCAAGAACTACAACCCCAATTTTTTCTGAATCAAGAGATTGGACCTTCCCATCAAGATATTGTTTCTCATACCATGAACTATTACCAGTATCAATGTAGCCATATTTCTGGATGAAATGATTTGCAACAGCAGCTCGATTAGCTCCAACACCAAACTTAGTCGGTGTCCCAAGTAAATGCCTCCGAAGCATGTTGACTTCATCGCCACCGCCATAACCCTGCCAAAAGAAGATACATACGAATCAAGCAAGGCAACTTACTGACTAAAATATGAAATAAAAGATCAACAGACATTGACTACTTCAATTATAATTTAACAGCAACGGTACAATATCTTCAACAACTTAGGTCTTAGGGTATGGAAAATCAAGAAATTCCTAAAGGTATCATGGAACACACATTAGCCGTTGTAACATTTACTCATTAACCAATTATCAAACTGATATAATCATTAATAATTAATCATAAACTAAATTAACAATTTATGCAATAGAACAAACTATTTGTCAAACTGAGGTAATTAATCACTTTTAAACTGAATTAAGAAAAAAGAAATAAATAAAATACCCTGGAAAGAAGGAGGGGTGAAATTCCGGAACGAGCAAAGAAGAGAGCAATGAACTCAACCATTGGTGTTTTCCCATTACCTCCCCAAGTCAAATTCCCAACACTGATAACTGGAATTGGCAAACTACACACAAAACAACAACAACAACAACGACGACAACAACATTCACATTACCGTTGGATTTGAAAGAGAGAAGAAAGGAAAATGAGTTAGTTAGTTACCGGTGGATATGAAAGAAGCGGTATTGGTAAAGGGAATGGCGAAGTGAGCGAGTGAGTTTGTAGAGAGAAGAGGCAAATGAAAGAAAAGGAATCAGAGAGCGGTGAAATGGAGAGAGCTTTGACACATTCACATTCACATTATCAGTGTAAGCTATCTCTTTCACTATTCTTCTCAATTTCTCCATCAACCCAACCAACCAAACCATTTCCCTCACCCTAAGGCTATAAGCAGAAACTAATCGTATATTTATGTTCAATTAGCTAGATAAAGCTGCTGTGAATTAAGCCAGTTAATTATATTAACGATTTTCTTAATTAAAATTTGATGTATTAAAAATTAAAAAAGTATATATATATATATATATATATATATATATATATATATATATAATATGGGGAAGTATCCGTTTATAAAAATTTTTGACAAATTTTTACAAATTACACTATCTTCTCTCGGGAGAACATAGTAAAAACCTAGTGTTCTTCTGGAAGAAGATAGTGTAGTTTGTAAATAAAAAAATTTGTAAATATAACTTACCCCATATAATATTGTGCCTATTTTTTATATATATACTTATCTATAATACTGTTAGATTAGAATCTCAATGTTCACTCTTTCTTTCTCATATTGAAATTCTGATCTAACAATATTAGAAATAAGTTGGTAGAATAGATATAATAAAAAATATAGGTGCAATATCCCATACCTACATGGTGGCCTATGTGTCCAAGTGCAGACACAAAAAAAAAATTATTTGAAATAGTTTGAAAAGTAAAGTACCTTTTGGATCCTTAATAAAAATTGAGAGACCCATTTTAATATATTAGAAAAAAAAGTGGACTTCTAGTCCCTTTGGAATTCAAAATAGACACGAGAGTAAAGTTCCTTTCGGGTCCCTAACAAAAAACATGGTCCTCATTTTCGTCCCTTAAAAAAAAAAACACCCGTATTAGTACTTTTTCAGAGACTAAATTGGATCTTCATTGAATTTCTGAGAGACCACACTTTCAAAGAACTGAAATTGTAGAGGGACCAAAAGTTGACCTTTTTTTTTGTAAGGGACGAAAGTGTGGACCGTGTTTTTTGTTAGGGACCCAAAAAAGATTTCACTCTAGACACAATTAGTCAAAATCGTGGTCCCTTTGAAATTCAAAGAAGATCCACGTTAGTCCCTCCAAAAGACTAACATGGATCTATTTTGAATTACGGAGGGATCATGAGTTGAATTCTTTTTTTTTAAGGGATTAAATTTGGCCCTGTGATATTTGTTGAGAACCCAAAAGATACGTTACTCTAGCTTGAAATAGCATTTACAAAAAATGAGATATGCATGGAATAGCAAAGCTTGATATATGTGAATATTTTTCTTTTCTCTTCTTGTTTATATTCTTTTATTTTTTAATGCATTTAAATTTTTTTTTTCAGAGTTGCTGCCCTCGAACCGTAGCCACTAAGTGTGCAGACATAAATAAAATTTTTCTGGGTTTGCTACTGCAATATCCTATCATATATATATATATATATATATATATATATATATATATATAGGGAAATATGTGTGTCATTTTAAAAGATGTAAAGTTGTGTCATTTTAAAAGAGAGAAAGAAATAGATAAAGGAGGAGAGACAATTGACAAAAAAAATAAAAGTGTGGGTCTCACCTCTTTGTGAGAGTGAAAGGATATAAGTTGTGTCATTTAAAAGGATAAATATTTTTCTCATATATATATATATATATATATATATATATTAGCATTTTTTTAAGTAATTCCACTAAGAGTATTACATGTTTCGTTATAATGATGGGTTGCCAATTATGGGAAATTATCTAGACTTCTCATAATTTGTTGAGATCAATATCTCACCTGATCATGGGCTGCCAATTGGAGGTTCAGTGATCATACCTCATGTTCTTTAATATCATTTTGTACGTATAGATTGAAGTTTGAATCATTGGCCGTGGAAATTTTGAAGAAGTTGTATGTATATTTCACTTGATGACACAACTGGGGAATATTTGGTTATTGATGCATACAGTTATTGTTAATGACTTTTGGCATAGCATATGCTGATATGAGTAAAGGTTGTTGGAAACTTGTATATGTTGAAACAGAAAATTAGATTTGATCAAGATATGAAGTTGCCGTTTATTTGGGAAATTTTTGTGATTATGTGTACAATCTCATTTTGTAATTAGTGGACTCGTGATTGAAATGAAGTGTGAAGACTTGATGCAAAAATGTTGTATTAATTTAGTTAATTGAATGAGTCACTACAAAAATTTGATTTCAATAGTATGTTTATATTGCAAATTTGGTGATTTTGTGTCTCTCCAATTTGAATCATTTTATAATTGCCCTTGAAATTGGAAGAGGTGACTTGTTCTATTGTTGCAACCCACGACTTACTGGAGTAAGTCAGCAACACTTGTTACTTATTCGTATCACCAAAAATAAAAAAAATAAAATACTTTAGTAAGTAGGGACTGGATGGCTTGGAATTTGCTATCTCCTTCCATTAATTTGCGAGGATTGCTCACTTGTTCAATAAGTGGTACACTCAGTAGGAGTCCATTTTCCCTTCATTAGAATTTGTTTCGGATGGCCCAACGCCATATGGCCCAATAGCCTAAGCCCAAACCTTTGTCTTTGTCCACGTCAGCCCTACCAACCCTCAGTTTCTCTGCCCCCAAGACGACTGCAATCTCTAGGTGAGACACCAAAATGCCTAATCTTGGGATTCCAACTCCCTAGGAGACCGCCCCAGACACTATAAGTGGTAACTACCACATCGTCATATGCTGACACCCCCAGGAACAGTGGGTGCATCACTGCTATCATAGCAGTGTCAGCCACCCTTAGCTGATCCTCAGGAGGGTTGACCCCTCCTCACCAACCTACACAAGATCAGCATCTCATCCCCTATAAATACTGTTCTCCACACACAAGGAGAGGTATTTTATGTATCGTTATTTTGCTCATTTATCTTGAGTCACATACACACATACCCTACCCCCATTATCCTCTGTTAGTTTCATACTTGGGACTGTATCTTGTAGCTTGGTCTTTACCTGTGCTAGAGGTATAACCCATACCGTGACTCTATCCCCAAAGGGAACATAGTGGGCTTATAGATCCCAACGGTACAGAATTGAACGTCATTTTAGATGTGTTATTGTACAAATTAAACCAAAAAGTTTAGGAAAGTGCCATGATTTAATCCTTCAAGCAAAGAGTATAAATAATATTTGAGGTTTGAACTTGGCGCTATATAGCCTTTGGGTAAGCTTATGCTTAGAACATAATAGTGTAATTGAATTGGTCAACAAGAGATGTTACAAAAATATTTTTTTTTTTGTAAATGTTACAAAAATATTTTAGAATACATATGATCTCTTCGAAATAATTTTTTTTATTTCACGATTTATTTTCTATTTAATTAGGTTTTGAAGTCAAATATTAGTATGAATAAGGATAAGTTCATTATAGTTTGTATCTCACTGTAATAGATCCTAACATATCAAATCATACCAATTTTATATTATTCTATCTTTATTATCTCTTTTCATCACACGTTTAATCATTAATAATTTGAAGGAAGAGTTAAGAATTGACTTTGATTTTTGTAATAAAATTTGAAGGACCTCCTAAATTCAAGTAGATTATGCCTAAATGGTTTTGATAATGTCAAAGCATGAAGAACTCATTTTGAAGATACTAAAATTTCGGGTTAGATAATTTTTAAATTTTTTGTAACACATTAGATATATCACGAAACATTATTCCAAGCTCCATTGCATATCATTGCATAACATGTATTTAGCTATGTTGAGTGACTTAATAAAAAAATTAAAGAAACAGGTCTTTAAAAATAAAATCCAAATCAATTAAAAATCTGTTTTAATAAAAAAGAAAAAGGAGAAAAAGTAAATTAAAATTTGTTTTAATAAAAACCAAAATAAAAATAAAATAAAAGTAATATAATATATATATATATATATATATATATATATATATATATATATATAACGAAACAAAACTAAATGTACATCGTTGTAAAACGAAGATCAACATGAAAAGAATATATGGGTCAGGATCATTTTACACCTGTGTAAGTTACACTTTCAATCTTGTTCGTTGATCCCACTTATATCTAAGGGCTCAAATTTTTTTAGTAACGTGAGCCATTGGATACAAGTGGCTCAATGGTCAAGATTGAGTGTAAGACTTCTAACTCTTACACTGGTGTAAGAATATCCTACCCCTATATATATATATATATATATATATATATATACACATATAAACTTTTGGTTTTAATAAAATAAAATATTGTTTTACAATTGATTTTTCCAACGCACAGTTAATGTGGTTCAGCTTTCTTTTAAAAAGTCATATACTATGTTATCAAAAAAAAAAAAGTCATATACTATATAATAATATAGGGTAAAGACTAAAGTGTGTGTCATTCTAAAGGATATAAAGTTGTGTCATTTTTTTTTTTTTGTAAATAAAGTTGTGTCATTTTAAGAGAGAGAAAGAGATAGATAAAGGAAGAGAGTTGACAAAAAAAAATAAAAGTGTGAATCTCACTTCTTTGTGAGAGTGAAAGGATATAAGTTATGTCATTTAAAAATGATAAACACTTTTCTCAATAATAGAAGTATAGTAGAATCATCAGAAAATTTTTCACAGACTTGCGAAAAAAAGCGCTCTTTCTATCTGTTCTTTGCGCATGAAAACAGAGCCACTTTTCATCTGAAAACTTGCCGTTCATTCTTTCATCTTTGATCTGCACAAAATAATGCGTGTGAGTATTTGATACTACACCTTATATTCATCTTCCTTCCAAAAATCTCCAAAATTTTCATCAACAATTTTTTTCTCTTCTTGAACCCTAAACAAAGTGCACCACTGTTGATGAGTCTCTTGATCGATTTCTGAGTCAAGATTGGGTGATTTGGAGTGTTGTTCATGATTCTACAAGTTTGAAGGATTTAATTCAAGATTCTTGGAACTAAGGTTGTAGAACCCTAATCACATTTTCTGTTTTACTTTGCTGAAAATTTGAGATTTCTTGAGGTAATATTTTAATTCTTGTTTTGAGCATCCTTTGGTATATTCTTGAAACTTGATATTGTTGAATTAATTTTATGTTATTTTTTTGTATATTGTGAGTATTCAAATTTCTTTGTTTTGATATTAAGTGAATATAGTAGAAATCTTGATGCTCTTTGTGTAAGATTTGTGTTTCTAATTTTTTTGTGAAAGATTGAATAAAAAATATATATATTAAATCTGAATTTTTTTTTTCATTGTGTTAATTCATATTTTTTTTTTGGAATTTATTATTTAGAAACCTAATCTTGAATTGTTCTAGAAATTTTATTGTTGAAATATTAAATCTGAATTTTCTGTTTTAATTGAGATATATTGTGCTTAAAATTCAGATTTCTTGTGGTTTATTACTAAAAAATTTATCTAGAACTAATTCTGAATTTTTTGTGAAATTTTGAGAGAATTACAAATCTGATTTTTCTGGATAGTGTGATAATTTTCTTTTAAATCAGAATTTTTAGTGTCCATCGTTTAGATACTGGATATAAATAAATACAAGTTACTTATTGCTGAAAATTTGTAGTTTGTGATACATGTACTTGTGCTCTAAATTTTCTGCATATATCATATCATTTTGGAGCTTGTTATTGTGTCTTATTTGATATATCAAGTGTGATAGGACATTGTAATAGATTGATAAATTTGTTGTTATAAATCTGAGATATTGTATTGATTGTTAAAGTGGAGTTGTTACGTGTTGTAAATCTGTCCTAGGTGTGTGGGTGCAACCAAGTGGGTTGGCAACCTTGTGCTTGGCTTGAGAGTGTGTCTCAAGGCTTGGAGCCTCAAGAATCCACTAGGGAAAGTGGAGGTCTTGTATAAGAGGAGTTGGTGAACTCCGTAGGTTCGGCTTGAGAGTATTCTCAGAGCTTGGAGCAGTGTAGGCACTAGGAAAGTTTTTGATATTTTGTTTGATTGCTTGTGTGACGCGTGTTTGTAAAAAGGTACACTTGTGATAAATAAAATATCTGCAGCGACTTCAGTCTGGACGTAGCACCCTACTTAGGCTTAATGGGTATGAACCAGGATATATCGTGTATCTCTTGTCTCTCTGAGTTAATTTCTGAATATTATGTTTAGAGACTTAAAGTAACACTGATTTCTGGTTTAAAAGTGCTGTAGCAGAATTAATATTTTTCTGTTTTGTTTAATAAAATTACATTGCTGCGTTTATACTCTATAAATTGATAAGGTACTCATTCTGTTACTACATTGTTCTTAGCATTGTGAAAAATTATTTTGGGCATATAGGGACTGAAGAAAAATTGTGTAATTGTTTACTGAATTCAAAAAGTTTTTGAAAAAATTTAGAGCACCTATTCATCCCCTCTAGATGTTCCGTAAGTATCCTGTGTAAGAAACCACTTGCCCAACAAAATTATTTCAAACATTTTATTTTAGGCTCATATTTTATTGTATGTATTTTTATTTATAATATATATATATATATATATATTTTTTTTTTTCCAACATAAAGATTCCTGGGTTCGCCACTGCCCATAAAAAATGTACTATTTGCCCTTCATTAAGTTCCTAGTGAGTTTTTTTTTTCAAGGTTCTAAGATCACATATTAATAATCCAAAAAGAACTGTGGTAAAACATGCATATTTTACAAATGGTGAGTGACTACATTAATTAAGTTCTAAGAGTGCAATTAATATGATGTGTGATTAATAACATTTAGCATTCTTATTAATGATGTGATAGAGAAAAATGTAACCTTCATTTCCTAGAGTTTTTTATTTTATTTTTTAGAGTAAACACCTTTTTTGGTCCCTGGCAATATCTACGAAATCTTTTTTAGTCCCTGGCAATAAAAAAGAACCAAATTGGTCCCTAAAATTATGAAAAAAGGGCCACGTTAGTCCTTATGTCAACTCCTTCGTCACGAACGTGACCCATTTTACATACTGTTAGGGACCAATTTGATCCTTTTTTATTGCCAGGGACTAAAAAGGATTTCGTAGATATTATCAGGGACCAAAAAAGGTGTTTACTCTATTTTTTATTTATGATTAGATTTCATACAAAGACATGTTTTATCCATAAAAAAAAATAACGAGAAAGAAAAATTATAAGTAGTTCTTTAAGAGTTAGACTTTTGGAATTGAAAATTTTATCATTGTCTTAATCCTTCTCTTTATATTATTTACAACAATTTAATGTTAATTTTCATTTATTTCCCCAAAATTCAGTGAACTTTAAATAGTATTGGAATCAGTTAATGAGTTATCGATGCTTTCCAACGTTGGTCACTACACTTCCAAAAGTAATTTCATTGGGCTAACTTCAATGGGGTACATATATTGAGTATTTTTTAATTTGTAGATCACCTATATGAAGCATTAAATTCATGAGGTATGATATTCTTATTATCCTATTTTTTTATGCGGTTTACTAATCTCATGTTACATGAGAGATAATACTCTCATGTGGATGATATAAATATGTGGGGTCCACAATTAAAAAAAAAAGGAAAGAAAAAATTGGCACAAAATTCTATAGGTGTATGACATGAGATATATATCTTATGTAGCATGAGACTATCATTTCCTTTTTTTTATTAATTTGTTGTCATTCTAGTCATTATTGGATCCCACTTTTAGCTAATCTCTGAAAAGTTTCTGAAAAGAGAGAAAAGAAAAATAACTTTTAGTATATGCCCCAGAGTACATAATTATATTAGCGTGGTAGTAAGTTAGTAGTAATAAAACTTGATATTAAGAATATCCTTAGTCTAAATTCATAGTCAAAACATTCAGAATTATCGTTTTATCAAATTTTCACCGGCTTCTTTGTAAGTATACAAAATGGCACTAAAAACATTTTCATCATTAAAAAACAATTGCTATTGAAAAAGAAAGAATAATTTTCTCTTTGATTCATAAACATTGGGTATTTGTAATCTGACATAAGGTTTAAGGAAAGAATAATTAAAGCTTCATGTGTGAGGAAAGTATTTAGGGAAATTGGATGAATCTAACTTTTCTTTTTAAAAAATTAAAGAGGAAGGCAAATAACCTTTAAGCAGTTTTGGAGGGGGAAAACGAATTGCTATTGAAAAAGAAAGCATCATTTTCTCTTTGATTCATAAATTTTGGATATTTGCAATATATGACATAATTAAGTTTAAAGCAAAGAATAATTAAAACTTCTTGTTGGGGAAAGTATTTAGAGAAACTGGTAGAATCTAACTTTTCTTTTCAAAAATTAAAGAATAAGCTAGCTAGGTAGGCAAATAATCTTTAAAGTAGTTTTGGAGGGGGGGAAAAGCACTCATTCGAATGTTGAGTAGTTTGAGTTAATAAATAGAGATTTTAGAGCTAACAAATTTCATCTGCAGGCTAGAGCTAAACGTTGAGTCCTTGAGTTACAAATATTTGGATTTGAGGCGTATGGAATCATCTTTCTTCAACACTTCAAATACCAAGAAAATGGCATAAACCAGGTAGCATCTTAATTCCCTTATAATGTAATTCTTACTTCGTTTATCTGTGTGATTTGCACTTTAAATTCCATACACAACCATAACTATCAACATTTAGTTTGATATATGAATATAGAGAACTTGTTAAAATTAATTTATTTCATTTATAAAAACCTTATAATCAAAATATTTTAAATAAATGTTTCATTGAACTTTTTCAAATACGATTTTTATTAAAAATACTTTTAATCTAATTAATTACAATGAAGAAATTCAATAATTATTCAATGGATTTTCTTTTCAATATTTATTCAAATATACAGAAAAAAATTAATTCAATTTTGACATAAATATTATAATAATTTTATATATCAAAATTATATAATTTTTTGTTTCTTTTGTTATTTAGTTTTTTTTAATAATGAGTCATATTCTTGTTGGGAAATAATAATTTTATTATGTGAAATTGAAAGGTAATAATTAATATCTTGACTAATTACAGTTCAAGACAAAATTATATTTCATAATTTAGTAATGACATTAATTGTATTGATAAGATTATATTATATAAAATCATGTGGATTATTTTATATTTATATTATTAAACTTTCTCTACCTTTAACAACTAATAATTTTTTTTAATTTTTTTATATGTATTATATTACTACTACTTGAATTTCTTTTTACTCTTCACAACGCTTGCTACTAACAATTTTTTTTTCAATCTATCGGTTATGTTAATTTGTTTTTTGAAAAAAAAAGTTTTTAAATTTTTATTATTTATCAAACGTAATATATATTTTTAATTAATTTTCAAGGTATTTTTTCCCAAGCTTCTCTAGGTAATTTGCGTGTGTACATGTTACTACCATTTGATTATGTTTTTTTTTTATCCTTACGTTTTAAATATAGTTCTCCTTCTTAATTACTCTATTGTTTTCCAGAAAAATATTTCTGCAGTTAATGCAGATAAGTTATCTGCATTTATTTCTAAAACGACGTCGTTTTGGGATTCAAAGATTAAAAAATTATAATTGTAAAAACTATAAAACCCTGAAATAAATTAAAATTACAAAAATACCATGATTTTCGCACCAAAATAACATTGTATTGGGTTTGCTGCAAAAAAAACAAACCATTGTTTTATGAGTTGACCTTTACATTGTTACCCTCGATATTAGTATCTCATCATATTAGTTTTTTAAAGATTTTAATCATTAATTTAGTCTTCAAATATGTAAAAGTTAAAATGATTAATAAATTAGTCTTCAAATATGTAAAAAAAATGATTAATAAATTTGTCCTTTTCTATTTTTATTTTCATTTTTCATAAGAATGAATATGCAGTATTTTATATTTTTAAATTATTAATCTGATAAAAAAAAATCTTCAGAAGAATATATACATATAAATTCTGAACATTCTGATCTCTTGAACAAGTTAATTAAGAAGACTTGTAAGAAACATCTGAACATCTTGATTATAATTTTAAGAAAAATAAATTAATATTCCGAACATGTATTAAAGATATTTATTTTGAAAATTACAAGTAATCTGATCGACACTTGAGTTAAAATTTACATTAAATTATTATATTGTATATAATATAAGAATTCGAAAAGTTTTCTGAACTCCATCGTCGATTTTTTTATACATTAAAAAAAGGGGAAGGAATTGTAACAACCAATCAGAGTTATTACCAATTAATTTCACCGTTAGATCGATTACGTTGATCCAATGATTATATTTATTTATGTCTTTATATGGTTATGATTCCCTATATTTAATACTTTATATTTATTTTTACCTTTATATGGTTATAATTTCTCATATTTAATGCTTTTACATTAAATATGAGGAATAATAACCAGACAAAGATGGAAATAAATATAACCGTTGGATCAACATAATCGATCTAACGGTGAAATTGATTGGTAGTAATATTGATAGTAATCCTAATTGGTTGTTTCAATATCCTGCTCCTTAAAGAAAATCTCTATATTACATATTTTTTCGTATGATAATTCCTTTTTCTAAAAAATAAAATAAAATTGAACGAAGATTATTGTAGGGTTAATTTAGACTCAAATGATAGTAAATCTTAATTTCTTCAAGTGAGAATCAATCGCTGAGAGATTTTAATAGAGCTTCTGCATGTTTCTTATCTAATTAAACTTGAACTAATTTAATTATCAAAAGTATTTATTTTGTAAAATATTTTAACATAAGACTATTATTTTGATTTTTTGTAGTTTTATTACAAAATATTATTTTAGTTTAATTTTTTCGAAAAAAAATCTCAACCCAACCTTTGATTTGATTGGATCGATTCAGATTAAAAAAAATTCAATTTATCCTAATCCACACAAATTTTCTTACGAATTTTTTTTTATTTAGTTCAATTTTAAATTTTTTTTTTTTTTTTTTTTTTTTTGTAAATAAAGAGGGGCTAAGCCCCAATTTTCTTTTACTCAACTTGCAATTGTTCCTAAACTATATATTTTAGCCTTAAAACTTAAAAGCCCAAAATTTAAATTATTCAAATAATCAAAATAAGCATAATATCTCCTTACCTGTTAAGCCAACCCCTGAGTTTGAGCTAATTTCTTTAAGTATCATGAATTTGAATTATTATGTTACTAACTTACTATGCCTTTTTTTATATATAAGTGAAATACATTTTATGGATGTACAAATTATAATTCTTGTGATTGTATTTTTTGCTTTTGGATATAGTTGGTGATACTTTTATTTCTTTTGTTTTTTAAATTATTTTTATGAGAAAGTAAAGGAGAACACGGATGCTTTTGAAATACTTCAGGATTCGTTCCAAAATCATTTTTCCTTGTACCCAACATTCAGTTGCCTCCAATATTCTGGTTGTTTACATCGGATTCTGTTTTGAAGAGGTAACTTTATTCATTTATTTTTAAATGTACATTTTTTTCCTTGGCTTTTCTCTTTGTTTTGTCTTGGAATATTTCTTTCTCGTTGAACAAAATTATCTACGGAAGTCAAAAGTCACCATGATAACTGTACCTAGAGTGTTTTTACCAAAAAAAAAAAAAAAAAACTATACCTAGAGTGCTTTAAAGTTAGGATGCAAATGAGTAAAGTCAATTCAAGTTTTATCCTAAATAGACTAGATTTATGTAAAAAATTTCAACATGGTTTTACTGATTAACCCAGTACAAGTTAAATTTTAGGTTTGACGCTTTTCGTTTTTAAAAAATGCAAGGCTTGATCTATCAAGCTTATCAAACCTTAAAAAATGACATAATATGCTCTATAAATTGGGTTATAATTATGGGAAAAGTATTTATCCAGTTATCGGAGATAAAATTATCTCTAGTGAGCTCAAAACGACGTTATTTTGGATTATAAGATTAAAAAAGTATAATAATAAAGACTAATATAACCATGCCATATATTATAATTACAAAAACACATTGATTTCCGTCTCAAAACGACGTCGTTTTGAACTCATCGAAGATAACTTATCTCCATTGACTGAAAAAATCCTTTACCCATTAATTATTATGTTTCTTTTGTGGGTGTAAGTTGATGCAAAGTTGAAGCAATCCACTAGTTGAAGCCACAACCCAAAATATTGACAATTTAACCTTGTTTTTTGAAATCAAAAACAAAATAATTGCAAGGATGCATAACGCTCAATTATATTTTAAAAAATAAATATTTATTCATTAATGTATTACATCATTCCATCCAAGAAAAAGGAAAACCATGATAATCACAAAAGCCAAAAGATAAAGACAAAAAAATGTTCACAAACACCAATCAAACTTCATTAAGAGATTCAAATTGCTGACTTTTTTGCTTTTTCCATAACTCAGAAGGATAAATTGTAAAAAAAAAAAAACATTTCATCAAAGTTTAGATTGCACATAACTAGAATCTCATCCAAAAAAAGGCAATAGAAGATTTGGAAGAGATGGAGAGTTGAGAAGGGGGCAAGAGAGTAGCAAAATTTGACGGGGGAGCGAAGAACAAGAGTAGGTAGTTAAAATCAGAATTTTACCTAAAATCGGAAGAAGGATAAAAAATCGTAAAACGTAAAATTCTAACGTAAAAAAAATCGTAAAAACGTAAAAGCATTTGGAATCTTGATAAAATCGTTTTGATTAAAAAAAAGTTGTAAAATCATAAAAGAATAGATTTAAATCGGAATTTTAACTACAACTTAGGAACTTAGTTTTAAAAAGAGATGCGTTTTCCAAGTGAGAAGAGGGAAGATTACGATTGAAATGAGTAAAAAAAATAGTTTAAAGGGAGTGTAAAAGTCTAGGTGGAGGGTAAGAAAAATTAAAAAATAATAAAATATTATTTTATTAAAAAATACAAATCTGACCTTCAGGCTAAGAGGCCATACATTTTAAAATCGGATTGTATTGTTTTTAAAACGGGTTGACCAAATTAGACCAAAATCAAGTCAAGTTGTAGGCTCTTAATAAGTCACCTGCCTCATTTATGTCCCTATTTAAATCAAACATTTGTTTTTCTGTCATTCTCTGTTGAAATTTTTTTTTGATTTGATTTAAGGTATATTTTGGTTCTTGTGATTGTATTTTAAGTAAACTTTAGTCTCTACAATATATTTTTTATATAAATTTATATAATTAAGGTTTTGGTTACTTAGAACTGTTACCTTAATAACTAAAAACAGAAAAATTTCTTTATAAAAATAAAGATAATTTATTTATTATAAACAGAAATGATAAGGATTAGAATTCGAATAACTAAAAAATATAGAGAGTAATATACAAAGATAAGAACTTAAATCTAAATAAATAAAAATTTAAAGACTAAAACATATACAAAAATATTTTCATAACTTAAACTTAATAAAAACCGCATGAAAGTGAAATTTATTTTAAACCTATTTGTTTCTAAGAAGTACTAGTAATGGTAACCTTAATTCCAAGAACTGATTTTTTTTTTTTAATTAAAAAGGTCATTTGTGAGAAATGAGGCCATGATAGCCAATATTTTTAACGTATTGCTAAACTGTGTATTGAGCAAACTCTTAGGTGGTGTTTGGTTAATGTTTTTTTAGGAGATACTTAGGCATCATAGATAGGGTTTCTTTGTTTTCCATGTTTGGTTCACAATATTACAAAATTTTGATAGGAAACACATTTCCCTAGACTTTAATATTTGTGTGGAAAATGGAAAGAAAGTTACTGTTCAATTTCTCCACTTTGAACGTGGTATTGTGACTTGGACGTCTAAATGAGTAAAAGACAACCAAAAAGCTGACCGTAATACCCTTATCTTACCTAATTTGTCCGGTAAATTTTTTTCCAACCAAACAATTTTTTTTACATTTTCCTACCAAACTCACTTTCCAACCATTTCCCTATCAATTACATTTTCCTAGTATTTAAAAAATTTCTCATCAACCAAACACCCCCTTAAACATAAAAACTTCACAATTTTGGCCCTTAAGTAAATTTTTCTAAGGAATGCAATGCAATTATTTCAAGCGAAGTATTTAGATTCTTATGGGATGTACTATTCTACATTAGTATGTATCCTAATATTTAGAGTAAATACCCTTTTGGGTTTCTAACAAAAAACACTGTCATTTCTTTAGTCCTTCACAAAAAAAAATTAGTCAGTTGATTCCTATGAAATTCAAAGTGGATCCATTTTAGTCCTTTTGAGGGACTAATACGGGTTTTTTTTGAATTTGTGAGGAATCACGATTTCAACTAAATGGGTCCACTTTGAATTTGTTAGAGACCTCGAGACTAATTTTTTTTTTATAAGTGACTAAAGTGCATACCATATTTTTTGTTAGGGACCAAAAATGATATTTACTCTAATATTTAATTACTCTTACGTTGCAAGTTATAGATATCCATCCAGACATATAACTGGCGAGTGGCAACAAAACTCTGATGATGAATTATTTTAGTCTTTCTTCAAGTTCTTTACAATTTGTTCTGTGCATGACAGGGTGTACTGCAGAAGTTGACATTTTGTATTCTTGCCATTATGAGAAGAGGGTGAGCCATTTATTTCAAACTTCCTCTTACTTTATTTTTTTGGAATTTGGATCTTTTCATGTGAAAAAAAGATCATGTTATTTAATCACAACTACTCATTTAAAAATCATATATTTTTCTTTTTCTTATCTCATAATCAACGAGTGATTGTGATCAAATAACATTACCACGTTATCATTTTTTCACGTGGATCCAAATCCATTTTCAAGTTATTGCCTCTATCTGTTATCCTAGGCTAAACTTGAATCAACCCCTTTGCAGCGAGCCAAAACAAAATATAGTTTTTTTTTTTTTTTGATAACAACAAAATATAGTTTAACAAAAGGAAAAGAAGACAAATTTGCACGTTGTTCAAAACATGAAAGTAGCCACAATTGCACGTCAAGTTGGTTACTTGATTTGCTACAAGAATATATTGGAGAATCTCAAGAACGAAGTCAAGATTCTGCGAGACAAAGGAAAGACGGTGCAACAAAATCTTACTTGGGATTCTGAAGAATTCCAGACTCAAACTAGCTGGTTGAAAAGAGTTGACGAGATTGTTGGAGAAGCGGTTGCATTCTGGAACGACTGTGAGGGTAAAGGTGCTTGCACAAATTTGCTATGGCGTTATCGGGTTGGTAAAGAAGCAAGAAGGATTATATTGAAAATTTCACAACTACATGAACAGGGAAATTTTGAACAAATTGTGAAATATCCAAGATCAAGATCAAGAACAGATACTATAATTGATATTATGGAAGCCCTGAAGGACCCTCTTATCCAAACAGTTGGAGTATGGGGGTTGGGTGGTGAAGGTACAACCTCATTAGTCAAACATGTTGGAGATCACGCAAAAGAACATGACTTGTTTGATTCAGTGGTTATGATGACTGTAACTGAGAAGCCAAACATACAAAAAATTCAAGAAGATATTGCAAATGCATTGGGTTTGCAATTTCAAGGGGAAATGAATGTGGAAAGGAGAAACATATTGCGGAGGAGAATCCTCAAGAATTTGATTTGGAGGAATATGGAGTTCCTTTGGGTGATGAACATGAGGGACGCAAATTATTACTAGCATCAGGGAATTTGGATTTTATAAAAAACACGAGGGGTGCTCTTAAGGTGTTCCAAATAGAAGAGTTACTAGAAGATGAGGCTCTAAGCTTGTTTGTGAAGACGTCGGTTGGAGGTGTTGATCAAGACTTTGAGGCTAGTTCCTTAGTAACCGAAATAGTTGTGCAGGTTCAGCTCCTTCAATTTTTGCTGTAGCTAAGGCATTAAGAAATAAAGACCTGGGTGTTTGGATGGATGCCTCAAAGCAACTGAAGGATAATGTTCCGCCAATAAAACTATGTTACAATAGTTTAGAAAGTGAAGAACTCAAATCTATGTTCTTGCTTCTTACTATTCGAGGAAGAAAGCTTATTCACAAGTCTAGCATATATATAGACATGTGGTCAGGGTTATTCAAAAACCTTGATTCATCAGAGACTGCAAGAAATAGGCGTGATTCTTTGATTAGTGAACTTAACTCCCGCGGTCTTGTGGTTCAAGATAAGATGGAATGGGTTGAAGTAGATGACTTGATATGGGAAAATGCTTATTTAATAGCTCAAAGGGAATTACAAGTTACAATGATTTCTAAAGAATTACCACCGGAAGATTGGCTGAAAAATTCACGCTTTTGCAGCATGATTGTTGCGAGTGGTTTGCATATTCCTGAAAAGTTGCAGTGTCCAGAGTTGCAAGAGATGTTACTAAGTACAGACAATTCCTCAATGCAAATTCCAGATTCCTTTTTTGAGGAGACTAAACATCTGAAAGTTTTAGATGTTGTTGACTTCGATTGTTCAAAGTTGCCAGATAGTTTTGGTTTGTTAAAGAAACTTCAAGCATTATCCATGTACAAATGCAAATTGGGAGATATAACTAAAGTTGGTGAGCTCTCGAATCTCCGAATGCTTGGCCTCCTTGAATGTAGAATCCAACAATTGCCAAGACAAATCGGACAGCTCCGAAAGTTGCTATTCTTGGATTTGAGAGATACATATCTGCAAGTGATTCCACCCAATGTTCTGTCAAACTTGACTAGCTTAAAAGAATTATATTTGAGAAACTCCTTTCATAATTGGGAGGTGGAAAGATCCAACATTGCGAGCTTGAAAGAGCTAACAGACTTGCCTCGCTTGACATATATAGAAGACTTGTATGTTCCTGATGTTAGGGCATGGCCAGTGGAGTTGTTCTTTGAAAAACTAAAATCATACACGATTTTTATTGGGGATAAGTGGGGCCAGACCCATGATGGTGATCATGGATTAAAGACACTAAAACTCAAGCTTGATAGAAGGTTCCAATCAGAGAATGGAATAAAAAAGATGCTGAAAAATGTTGATGTGTTGTACTTAGATGAATTGAATGGTGTCCATAATGTTCTAAGTGATTTGGAAAGTGACGGGTTTCCCCATCTGCAGTCTCTCTTTATACAACACAATGATGAAATCAAATACATAGCCATGAATTCAAGTCATCCTCTTGATGCTTTCCCCAACTTGGAGTCATTGTCTCTCAACAATCTAAGCAATTTGGAGCATATTTGCCATGGTCCTCTAACTGAGAAATCTTTCTTCGAAGAGTAAACACCCTTTTTAGTCCCTGTCAATATCTACGTAGTCTTTTTTAGTCCCTGGCAATAAAAAAGGACCAAATTGGTCCCTGAAATTACAAAAAAAGGATCATGTTAGTCCTTATGTCAACTCTCAAATATGTAGAATGACCCTTTTCTTGTACTTTCAAGGACCAATTTGGTCCTTTTTTATTGCCAGGGACTGAAAAGGACTTCGTAGATATTGTCAGGGACTAAAAAGGGTGTTTACTCTTCTTCAAAATAAGAGTCATCAAAGTACACAAGTGTGATGGGATGATATGTCTCTTCTCTTATTCAATGATCAAAATCCTTCCTAATCTTTTTGATTTAGAAGTTTCAGAGTGCAAACTCATGGAGGCAATTGTGGTTGCAGAGAATTCTCATATAGAGTTTCCTAAATTACGCTCTCTGACCTTACGAGGACTCCCAGCATTAATCAGTTTCTGTTTTCAAAAAGGAGAGTCTTCTTACAGTGCTAGTCCTCCACTTTTCAATGAGAAGGTATTCACATATTTCAAATCCCCTTAAAGAATTAAAGCATTAAAGATGACTAATATCCATTTGTAGTGTTTTTTTTCCTTCCTTGCTTCAAAAGACAGATCCTTGATCTTAGAATAGCTAATTCCAAAACAAAAAAGATATTTGTATCAAATGACAAATAATTCTCTGAAAGCTGTGGAATATAATCTGCTAGATATGTTCGTTCATTAACGTTGTACTATATTATTGTGTGTATGCAGGTTTCTTTTCCTAATATGGAAACAATGATAATTTTCGGGGCAATTAAATTGGAGACAATATGGGATAAGGACTAGTCGTACATTCCCTTTTTTTCTTGTTAAATTCTAAACAAAGGGTTGTTTATGTTATTTTAGAAAAAGTCAGGTCTGTATAATCTCATTAAACGTGGAGAGGAGCATGTAAATTTACTTGACATGTTTCTTTGTTTGGCATTTGACTTCTAATTTGTACCCTGTTTTTCAAATACCATGTTGAGGACGAGGGAACATATTAGTTCTTTGAATTCAAGGAGTGAAGTAAATACCGTGTCTATCATGCTGTTGTACTTATTCCCATATGACTTTCGTGCAGACTGATGGAAGGTTTCAACTTCATTAACTTTATAGTGTATCAGTTTCTGTTGATTATAAGTTTGCACTTTTCGTTTTTTTTTCCTCTTCTAACTTTTGGCTCCAAATGGATTCTATTAAATATTCAATTCTGTATATTAAGGTCCAGTCATGATCTACTAGTTCTGGTTGTCTTCTGTATTATGTTTCTACAAGCTTCTGTACATGCAATCAGTTGTGTTGACAAAAAAAAGATTTTTTGGGTGTCTCAGTTAGTTTTGCTTACATTATTTTGCTAGACTGAAATGAAAAATTCAAGCAACAGTAGTATGGTTTATACCTGGGGTGAATCTAGGATATAATACTTTGTTTTTTTATTTATTTTTGGGGGTGGGGCTGGGGGGCAGCCCCCATGCCTCTCGTTAGACTGGTTGAGTTCTTTTTAATTATATTCATTGTTGGTATTTTAAGTTTCTTTTTTTTTCCCTCGTGCAGATACCAACCTCCTATTCCAGTTGATCAAGTAAAACCTTTAAATGAATATGAAGAGGAAGGAGGTGAGTTAAAAGTTTTTTCTTTTAATTTTTAAAAAAAAGTGAAATAAGTGTTTATTATGGCATGTTTACTATAGTTTGATCTAATACAGAAGGCTCACCAAGGATGCGAGGAAGAGGGCGTGGGCGTGGTCGTGGAAGGGGCAGGGGTAGAGGTATTGCCAAGTACTTAGTTTCACTTATTTCACTGTAATTGGCTGTTCTATAGATTATAGAATGTTCAGAAATGGTTTGTTGAACTCCTTATTGTGGAATTTTTAAAGATGCAAAAGGTGCTTATTAGGATATAATCTTTTATGCTTAGGATTTTACAATGGGGGTATGGAAAATGGTGATGGCTGGGATGGTGGACGTGGCTATGGTGGCAGAGGGCGAGGTCGTGCAAGGGGTCGTGCTTTCCACCTGCCCCACGTGGTAAGCATGCAAGTTCATGAAATTTAGATTTGTAGAAAATAAATTTATGTTGTGATGCCTAAATTACATTTGTTATATTATCGGATGAAATATTGATTGATGCCAGGTGTGTGCTGGCATAGTGAATGGATTTGTGTTTTTAAATGTGCTATTTGCATTAGATGGTGCTTCCTATTAAATCAGGCTACGGAAGATACAGAAGAAAATTCATTTGAATTCATCAACTGTTTTCCTTGTCTTTTTAATTTTCCTCCGTGCCTTTTATTCCTTCTTTTTCAGCATTTTAAAGTTCTCTTCCTGCATGCTACTTGACTGAACATTATAGTAATTTCTGTTTGATGATTTTGCAGGTCGTGGACGTGGAAGGGGAAGAGGCCGGGGACGTGTTCGTTATGAAGGCCGGGGAGCAGCTGCTTGATATATGATGTTGGTTATCATGTGTATGTTCTGTTAGATGGTTGTCCTTCTGCATATCATTTGCGTGATCTGTTAATATTTTGGTATTATTTGCAACGTTCAATGTTGCAGCCATGTTCCTGCAGTTTTGTTTTTGTAGTTTTTCTTTGTAACCTCTATAATTTTGCCTAGATCGGTAGGTGGAGTTAGATATATTTCATTTGTTTAAATACTTAAAAGAATTAAATTGTAAATTTTTTTAATAGGAATTATAGCAGTAAGTTATTTTCGAAGTTTTTAGGTGGAAGTTTCATTTCTGTTGAAATTTTGGATAGGAATGAGGCGTCATAGATTACTCTTTTTTACTGAGCAGTTGAAGACTCTAATTTTCTGGTTTATCTATTCTCTCATAACTTTTTAAGTCTGAGCAAATGAAAATTTGAATTCTATGTCAGCTACTTTAGTGCATCACCTTCATTTGTGAGCATAATTGATATCCCATTAATTTAAGTCATTACAGAAACCTTGGTTTACTTTACTTCGAAAAGTCACTTGAAAATTCCAGGCTTATGTTTTAATTACAACATGGAGCGAGGAAATTAATAATATTATTTTATTTGGATTATTTATTTTATTTTGTATTGAGAGCGAGAAAATTATTTTATCAGTACATCAGCATGGCCGGTGTTTTGCATTCCCTAATGTTGTGGTTTTCTTGGATTAATCATTGTAATATTCTATATATTAAATTATAGTTTTAGATTTTTTTTTTGGGAACATTTTTTTTAAAGTTCATCAAATTTTTTTGTTTGGATTAATGTTTCTCGTGTTATAAAAGATATTTTTATTTTATATATATATATATATATAAATATCTAAGATTTATATTTTAATTTTTTTTCCATATAATATCATGGGTTTTAAAATTATCTCTTATAATAAATAATCACATGGTTGACCATTGTCACTTAGCAACTGAACACGTCACAACCGAAAGATAGTTTGTAAAGTTATATATTAATAAAAAAAGGCAGGTTATATTTACAAATTTTTTTGTTTACAAACTACACTATATTCTCTCGGGAGAATACAAATTTTTACAAACTACACTATGTTCTTCCGGGAGAATACAGTGTAAATTGTAAAAAAATTCAAAAAAATTTGTAAACGGATCCTGACCCTAATAAAAAAAGGGTGTGAAAGATTTGGCAAGTTAAGTATTCGATTCGCTGATCTTAAAAATATTCTTCGGCGTACTCAACCCGTTAAGAGATAATGCTGCTTCACATCACTTGTTTATGGATTAGTCTATACAAGATAAAAATATACAGAAATTTCAAATTTTGTGGGTATCAAATAACTCAGCCAGCCACTTAAACGGGTACTAAAATTACACTCGAAGGAAGTTTGATCGAGAGTGAAGGAAAATGGACTTGTATCGTCAGCATTACTTATAGTTAGTTAACGGTGATGACGGTCTGTACAATATTCTCTTCTATTTTCATTCCTTTCTTAAATTGGAAACAGGGAAACAATAATTCAAACACGTAAACAGGTAATTGGTCTTCAAACAAAGGGATTAATATTTTTTATGTCACATTCTTACACATATATAAAAGTGTATAGAGCTCATATTTTCTTTTTCTCTTTCTTCTCTTCGACTCTACATGAGCTCTATATATTTTTATGTGTGTGTAGAAAATAAAATTATCTCCTACAACATAGAAACATTAATCCTTAAAATAGAAGGTTAAAATAACTACTTTCATAATATCAAAAAATAGAAACAACAGTTCTCGAAAATTCTTAACACAGTTGGTATTATACCTAAACAGAAAATGGTCTGGATATCAGCCACCGTAGGCAGCAATTACAATGAACTTAAATTGGTTACTTAGATTTTTATGTGTTATGTACGTGCGCGGACCTATGAAGCAACAACACTTCAAAAATTCTAACGTGTCGTGTCTGACATTTTTCTAACCCAATATCCTGATATTTCGCGGCAGAACTCAGATTCTGCATTTCGCGAGATATCAATCCAAAAGTTCGACTTTTACCGATTACAGAAGCCTAAACATGCATTTCTAGGTGAGTTTATTTCAGATTTAGAATATTGTTATCCCAGCAATCAATTAAAACAAAACTATGGGAAACGAGACGAGTTCATGTGCTTAATGAAATCTCAACAGGTCAATCAATAAATATCACAATCAAGGGAGTATTCAGTCTTAATGTATAAAAATAATGAGGCATCAAATCAAGCAAATATTCACAATCCACAAGTCATAGAATTGTAACAAGAGTTCTCAAGAAAGAAAGTAGGGAAATTAAACCACTAGGATTTTTGACTCACTCACACTCAAGTGTCTGAGGGTGTGTGTTTTACTCATTCTTCACTAAAGAAACACTACCATGGCTAAAGGAAGAGATTAAATGCAGAAAAAGTGGCTATAAGTTTAGAAATCAGATTTAAAAAGAAACAATCATCAATTAATAACACATTCGCAAAACACATTTTCTTTTTCTTTTTCAACTCTCCATCCTTTGTAATTTTCCACACATTTTTATTCATGAAATATAATACTTTTCTAATAAGCAAGCTTCTTTTTCTTTCTTTTTTCATTTTTTTTAAGTATATACATTTTTTTTCATTTAACCACGCCTTATGTTCTTGACTTTGCCCTTTCTACCTTTATCTCTTATACATTAACTATAACAACCCTCATTAGGAAATATTGAAATTATATAATTAAATTAATATTAATTATTAGTCTATGTTAATTTTGAACTAAGTAAGCATTTGATGCAAAATTTAGTAAGTAAATGAATGAAGTAGCATGAGAATTAATGTGATAATAGAATTCATGCTAAATGAAGTAAGTTAGACACAAATGAAATTTTTAATAATGTTTAGGGGTCAAAGTATAAATATGTGAAAGTTTAGGGACTAAATTGCAAATAAGCAAAGTAATGGCCTAAGCTTAACTTTGACTTCTTAATTCAATTCTACATGGAATTTTAAAGCCTATAAGTGGTCTTAGATTTGTCTAATATGTTGATTTTAATAAAAAAATTATACCTTTTTGTGCTAAGAAAAATCGCGACCTATAACTTGAAAAATCATTTTTTAAATTTTCAAAAGCTCTAAAAAATCTAATGTTTTTGAGATGGATTAGGTTAGACTTTTGTTGGATTGTTATTTCTGTGTTGTTTTGTGATGAAAATCGCTTAAAAATTTATTTTTTTAGCTTTGATGAAGCTCTCCTAGCGAAACCCGGTTTCGAGCGGGTAGACCCGCCAAAAGAAGAAAAAAACTTTGCAATTAGAAATCTTAAGAAAACATAGAGGTTAGTATAAGATTGTAAAAAAGACATCATATCTGTATTTCTCACTAAAAAATCTAATAAAATTTACATTAATAGAAAATTAACTAAAATCGTCATATATTTTGATATCACAAGATTTTTTTTCTTTATTTAAAATACTTGTTGAATACCACCGGATTTGACTACACTCTAAAATAATCTTTTAAATTCTTAATCAAATATTAAGTGATTTTTTTCAATCCTTCAAAATCATAATTAAATATTAGTAGATTTTTTTTGCGAATTACGAAATTCTTTAAAATTTCAATCCATAAAAAATCTTTCCAAATTAGCACCCTCCCTCTTTATATATATTAGTAGTATATGTCTATTTTATTTAATTACTCTTCACGGCAAGGCTCAATCCCTCTCCTTCCCTCTGAAACTGCTAATTTTTTTTTTGAATACTCTTCACTCGGTCTCGTGTCTACTGCTATGGCAGAACCATCCACCACCGAAACCACCTCCGCCAGCGATGCTCATCCGCCGGCGCCGGCTTCCTCGCCTAAGAGCTGGGCCGACGAAGCAGATGAAGAAACCAACGCAACGCCGAGCTCCGAGACAGCAACCTCGTCGCTCAACGTCGACGGATTAACGATCGACGAGAACAAGAAGCCTTCTCCCAAGTTCTTGGACGAGCCTGAAGACTCCAACATCCAAGCGGTTGGTTCGATCCCCATTCCCGATTTCTCTTTTCTCTCTTTCTCGGCAAGAAATTGACGGTTTATGGTTTTGAATTTCGGTGCAGGTTTCGTCCTTCGAAGAATTGAATCTCTCACCGGAGCTTTTGAAGGGACTCTACGTGGAGATGAAGTTCCAGAAACCTTGTAAGATCCAAGCCGTAACCTTGCCTATGATCTTGAATCCTCCGAATAGGGATTTGATCGCACAGGCGCATAACGCTTCCGGAAAAACCACGTGTTTCCTTCTTGGTATGCTTAGTCGAGTTGATCCAAAGTTGCAGGCTCCTCAAGCTTTCTGCATTTGCCCAACCAGGGAGTTGGCTATTCAGGTAAGGTTCTAAGACATTGCTTTTTTAAATCGACATATAATCTTATTCTATCATGGATTAAATAACCCATAACTAAGAATGCAATAGCTGGATACGATATGTGGTGGCCCCATACTTCCGGAAGAAAAGCTATATCCCTCCAAAGGGATATCTGATCGTGAGCCCTAGAAGTTTTTCTTTTTTCTTCTTTTTTTTTTTGGAAAAGCTCAGCAATGCCCTGCGTGAAAATTATATTTTAACATAATTTATTGAATTATGTTTTAACATCTTCAACAACTACTGAGATTTATTGAATTATATTTTAGAGTTATTGATACAGATTCAAATCCGAAACCGGATAAAAAGAAAGAAAGAAAAAAAGCAGCTTCTAGCGTGAAAATTAACTTCATCTCACTTATAAGGGAAGTTAAGGTGGCAATTGGACTTTTACTAGCCATGATCCAACCTTTTAATATTTAAGATTGGTTGATAATGTATTCACTTGATTTCTTCCTAACTCCAAAGCATGGCCTTCAGCCCTTCATACTTATCTAAAATTTCTTCCTTAGACAAGTTAATTTTTGTTAATCATGAAACGGAGAGAAACATCTCTCTAATACGAAGGGAAGAACAACGACAGCTGACCACAAACATGTTCAACTTCAATTATAACCACAAACTCACAGAGCAAGAAAAAAGAAAGTTGAGCAATTTCGAACTCAAAGTCTCCATATACTATTGCCATTGCCTTGAAACTTTAAGCACAGCTTGAAGATGAATTTAAAATTCATGCAAAAAAATTTTCTTTAAAATTTTTGGGTGTTTAAAAAGCTTGTATTTCCCTTTAATATGTGGCTCCTATGATTTTAAGAGTTATTTTATTTGCAAAAAGTTATGTTTTTTATCACACATGCAGCTGTAATATTTTTTCACAAACCACATGGGTATATGTGATAAAAAAAATCACAAGGCATAGGTAATTCTAAAACAAACCATTTACTGCAAAATCACCTATGCCTTTGGTTATTTTTTATCACTCGTGTGGTTTGCAAAAGTATATGTTTTTTTATCTGCTCCCGTGATTTTTTACTTTTACAAACCATGGAACATATGTCATAGGTGATTCTAAAGCAAACCAGCTTCGGTGAACTTTCCTGTTTGTTTTTTTTTATTCGTTTGTTAATCACTGTTATCGAACTTTTCCTCGTGATTTTTTTATTTTTTACAAATCAATGGGACATATGTGATAAAAAACACTGGGCCATAGATGATTCTAAAACAAACCGGCATTGGTGAACTTTCCTTTTTTTTTATTCGTTTGTTAATCACTGTTATCGAACATTGTGATTTGTGACTGTGTTAGTTGTAGCTTGATGATTATTGTGTTGTGTGGCAGAATACTGAAGTTCTCCGAAAGATGGGAAAGTACACGGGGATTAGCTCAGAATGTGCTATACCAGCAGACAGTAGGGATGCTTTGCCGATAGCGAAACGGGCACCGATTATGGCTCAAGTGGTTATTGGGACCCCTGGCACGATTAATAAGTGGATGACTTTTAAGAAACTTGGGGTGACAAGGTTGAAGATTCTTGTTTTTGATGAGGCTGATCAAATGCTTGCTGAGGTAATTCTATCGTGATAATGAAATGTTGTTTATTTAGAATTTGAGGTTTCATTGTCCTTGGACTAGGCAAGCACATAGCCTTATCATTCTCCCTGAGCTTATTATTGTTACAATCTTTTGGGGAGTTGGCAACACCCTTGTTTTTTAATAGAATAAGTTACAATTAAATGGTAAGTTGTGACTCTCCTCCTTTTTTAATGATGGATAAAGAGGAAGAGTGCACTAGTAGACCGCTTGTTTTAACTCTTGATAATATATATCTTTTTCTAGTTAGTAATTACTCTCTAGTAAGTATTCTAGAGATCCTAGGACCTAGTTTTAGGTTCAGGGAATTGTTATGGTTTACTGAATTAGTATTGTGATTTTCTTTTCTTTTTTAAAGCAGAGGTATTCGCAGTTCGGTTTCTAAATATGTTGTGCCCTAACTTGCTTAATTACTGTAAACTTTGCAGGATGGATTTAAAGATGATTCCCTGAGGATAATGAAAGGAATAGAAAAATTCAATTCTAACTGTCAGGTTTGTTGAACTCTTTCTTGCGTAGTGTGCTTGTGTGCATGGCATTTTCATCCATCCAAGAAATTCTGGCATAGACTTAGTCTACAAGTTGCATAGCCTAAGCTAAGTACACACTGACACATCGTCATTTTACATTAAATAACTACATGATATATGTGTCAATCTACTACTTTTAAAATGATAATGTATTAGTTTATGTTTTGGTTTTATTTATATGACCTGTGTAGATCAAATCTATGCAAGAATTTATCAATCCATAGGGACAACACATCCATGTATGCAAATACATGTTGTTTAAATTACCGTCACCCATCCTTCAACCTGTTCGGGTAGAACACCTGCCAATTCATGGAAGGTCATGCTCTCCCTGAGCCCTTGTGCAACTTGTGAAGTATATTTAAAAGAGTAAAGTGATTCATTCATCTTATAAGAACAGAAAAAAGTATGAGGAATTTTTTACGTAGTACATCATGCTCAATCAAATAATATTGCATAGATATGAAGATTGAATGTTAATTTGATTGATGCTAATGGTTTGCTATAATTTAATTTGAATCTATGTAGAAGGGAATTATAATTGTTCCTTGTTATTTTTGTGCACCATAACCATTTCGTCTGTACTTAAATGAACATTTTACCAAGATTGGTTGCTTTGTATGTGATTCAAATGTTGTGTGTGCTTGTATGTGATGTAGTTGTTTTTTTAGTTTCTTTTCTTATCTAAGAAGATTTTGATTGACTTGTGTATGTCTAGGTTCTTCTGTTTTCTGCTACATTCAATGACATTGTCAAGAATTTTGTTTCGAGGACAGTTAAGCAGGATTATAATACACTTTTTGTGAAGGAACTATCTTTAGATGCCGTAAAGCAATATAAAGTTCATTATCCTGATGAACTCTCTAAGATTGAAATGAAAAAAGATTACATACTCGAAATAGGAGAGAATCTGGGGCAAACTATAATATTTGTGCGCACAAGAAATAGTGCAAAAATGTTACATAAATCACTTGTTGTCGCTCCTGTTGTCGCTCCCGTCGCCCCAAGTAAGGGAGTCGACAAGGGAAAAAGGAAAGTGGTGAACATTGTTAAAAGGAAGGTCCGGTCTGCAGCGGACATTCCTGCCGAGGAGCTTGCTAGGAGGACTGGCGGCCCGGTTATTAAGGATGTGCAGGAGAATGCCCAGAGTTTGGCGGTCAACCCTTCTGCACCTGAAGTTATTCCTCCTAAACCAACGGCTTCTGGAAGGAAGAGGGTTGCTAGCGAGGATTTAAGCTCGCCTAAAGGAGCTAAAACGGTTAGGGTGGAGCCGACTGAGTCTGGTCAATCAGGTGGTAGTCTCTCGTTTGCCATGGAGAGTTTCTCGGACGCCCCTGGCGGTGATGACATGGTGGTGGTCGATACTCCGGACAGGGCGGGGGTACCTGTCATGGCGACTGTCGAAGGAACTTCAACGCCTGCGGCTGTTTCGTTAGTGCAGATCCTGAAGCTATCCGAGAGGGATCTGAACTCTAGTTTCCCTAATCCTGATTTAAACGTGTTGGTACCACAACAAATTAATCGCCAAGACATCATTGACTGCGCACAGGTAATGATCGGTCAGATTGTGGGAACCCGGGAGGCTACTCTTGCTGTTGACAGCCGTTGTTCTACCCAGCATGATGACTTGGTACAGAAAGGGCGCATGATTGAGTCCTTAACGGCCGAGTTCGGGCGGTTGAGCTTAAGAAAACATAGAGGTTAGTATAAGATTGTAAAAAAGACATCATATCTGTATTTCTCACTAAAAAATCTAATAAAATTTACATTAATAGAAAATTAACTAAAATCGTTATATATTTTGATATCACAAGATTTTTTTTCTTTATTTAAAATACTTGTTGAATACCACCGGATTTGACTACACTCTAAAATAATCTTTTAAATTCTTAATCAAATATTAAGTGATTTTTTTCAATCCTTCAAAATCATAATTAAATATTAGTAGATTTTTTTTGCGTTGGAATTACGAAATCCTTTAAAATTTCAATCCATAGAAAATCTTTCCAAATTAGCACCCTCTCTCTTTATATATATTAGTAGTATATGTATCTATTTTATTTAATTACTCTTCACACACCGCCAAGGCTCAATCCATTACCCTCTCCTTCCCTCTGAAACTGCGAATTTTATATTCCTTTTTTACTCTTCACTCGGTCTCGTCTACTGCTATGGCAGAACCATCCACCGCCGAAACCTCCTCAGCCAGCGATGCTCATCCGCCGGCGCCGGCTTCCTCGCCTAAGAGCTGGGCCGACGAAGCAGATGAACAAAACCAACGCAACGCCGAGCTCCGAGACAGCAACCTCGTCGCTCAACGTCGACGGATTAACGATCGACGAGAACAAGAAGCCTTCTCCCAAGTTCTTGGACGAGCCTGAAGACTCCAACATCCAAGCGGTTGGTTCGATCCCCATTCTCGATTTCTCTTTTCTCTCTTTCTCGGCGAGAAATTGACGGTTTAGGGTTTTGAATTTCGGTGTAGGTTTCGTCCGGCGACACTCCGTACACGTCAGCTACCACCTTCGAAGAATTGAATCTCTCACCGGAGCTTTTGAAAGGACTCTACGTGGAGATGAAGTTCCAGAAACCTAGTAAGATCCAAGCCGTAACCTTGCCTATGATCTTGAATCCTCCGAATAGGTAATGATCTAAAACAAACCACGTGTTTGGTATGCTTAGTCGAGTTGATCCAAAAATCACCTGCATTTGCCTTTGGTTATTTTTTATCACTCGTGTGGTTTGCACCTATAAGTATATGTCTATTTGCAAAAAGTTATGTTTTTTATCACACATGCAGCTGATTTTTTACTTTTACAAACCATTTACTGCAAAATCACCTATGCCTTTGATTATTTCTTATCACTCGTGTGGTTTGCAAAAGTATATGTTTTTTTATCTGCTCCAGTGTTTTTTTACTTTTACAAACCATGGAACATATGTCATAGGTGATTCTAAAGCAAACCAGCTTCGGTGAACTTTCCTGTTTTTTTTTTTATTCGTTTGTTAATCACTGTTATCGAACTTTTCCTCGTGATTTTTTTATTTTTTACAAATCAATGGGACATATGTGATAAAAAACACTGGGCCATAGATGATTCTAAAACAAACCGGCATTGGTGAACTTTCCTTTTTTTTTATTCGTTTGTTAATCACTGTTATCGAACATTGTGATTTGTGACTGTGTTAGTTGTAGCTTGATGATTATTGTGTTGTGTGGCAGAATACTGAAGTTCTCCGAAAGATGGGAAAGTACACGGGGATTAGCTCAAAATGTGCTATACCAGCAGACAGTAGGGATGCTTTGCCGATAGCGAAACGGGCACCGATTATGGCTCAAGTGGTTATTGGGACCCCTGGCACGATTAATAAGTGGATGACTTTTAAGAAACTTGGGGTGACAAGGTTGAAGATTCTTGTTTTTGATGAGGCTGATCAAATGCTTGCTGAGGTAATTCTATATTGATAATGAAATGTTGTTTATTTAGAATTTGAGGTTTTATTGTCCTTGGACTAGGCAAGCACATAGCCTTATCATTCTCCCTGAGCTTATTATTGTTACAATCTTTTGGGGAGTTGGCAACACCCTTGTTTTTTAATAGAATAAGTTACAATTAAATGGTAAGTTGTGACTATCCTCCTTTAATGATGGATAAAGAGGAAGAGTGCACTAGTAGACCGCTTGTTTTAACTCTTGATAATATATATCTTTTTCTAGTTAGTAATTACTCTCTAGTAAGTATTCTAGAGATCCTAGGACCTAATTTTAGGTTCAGGGAATTGTTATGGTTTACTGAATTAGTATTGTGATTTTCTTTTGTTTTTTAAAGCAGAGGTATTCGCAGTTCGGTTTCTAAATATGCTGTGCCCTAACTTGCTTAATTACTGTAAACTTTGCAGGATGGATTTAAAGATGATTCCCTGAGGATAATGAAAGGAATAGAAAAAGTCAATTCTAACTATCAGGTTTGTTGAACTCTTTCTTGCGTAGTGTGCTTGTGTGCATGGAATTTTCATCCATCCAAGAAATTCTGGCATAGACTTAGTCTACAAGTTGCATAGCCTAAGTTAAGTACACACTGACACATCGTCATTTTGCATTAAATAACTACATGATATATGTGTCAATCTACTACTTTTAAAATGATAATGTATTAGTTTATGTTTTGGTTTTATTTATATGACTTGTGTAGATCAAATCTATGCAAGAATTTATCAATCCATAGGGACAACACATCCATGTATACATGTTGTTTAAATTACCGTCACCCATCCTTCAACCTGTTCGGGTAGAACACCTGCCAATTCATGGAAGGCCATGCTCTCCCTGAGCCCTTGTGCAACTTGTGAAGTATATTTAAAAGAGTAAAGTGATTCATTCATCTTATAAGAACAGAAAAAAGTATGAGGAATTTTTTACGTAGTACATCATGCTCAATCAAATAATATTGCATAGATATGAAGATTGAATGTTAATTTGATTGATGCTAATGGTTTGCTATAATTTAATTTGAATCTATATAGAAGGGAATTATAACTGTTCCTTGTTATTTTTGTGCACCATAACCATTGCGTCTGTACTTAAATGAACATTTTACCAAGATTGGTTGCTTTGCATGTGATTCAAATGTTGTGTGTGCTTGTATGTGATGTAGTTGTTTTTTTAGTTTCTTTTCTTATCTAAGAAGATTTTGATTGACTTGTGTATGTCTAGGTTCTTCTGTTTTCTGCTGCATTGAATGACATTGTCCAGAATTTACTTTCGAGGACAGTTAAGCAGGATTATAATACACTTTTTGTGAAGGAACTATCTTTAGATGTCGTAAAGCAATATAAAGTTCATTGTCCTGATGAACTCTCTAAGATTGAAGTGAAAATGTTACATAAATCACTTGTTGTCGCTCCTGTTGTCGCTCCCGTCGCCCCAAGTAAGGGAGTCGACAAGGGAAAAAGGAAAGTGGTGAACATTGTTAAAAGGAAGGTCCGGTCTGCAGCGGACATTCCTGCCGAGGAGCTTGCTAGGAGGACTGGCGGCCCGGTTATTAAGGATGTGCAGGAGAATGCCCAGAGTTTGGCGGTCAACCCTTCTGCACCTGAAGTTATTCCTCCTAAACCAACGGCTTCTGGAAGGAAGAGGGTTGCTAGCGAGGATTTAAGCTCGCCTAAAGGAGCTAAAACGGTTAGGGTGGAGCCGACTGAGTCTGGTCAATCAGGTGGTAGTCTCTCGTTTGCCATGGAGAGTTTCTCGGACGCCCCTATTGTCGCTCCCGTCGCCCCAAGTAAGGGAGTCGACAAGGGAACCCGGGAGGCTACTCTTGCTGTTGACAGCCGTTGTTCTACCCAGCATGATGACTTGGTACAGAAAGGGCGCAAAATTGAGTCCTTAACGGCCGAGATCGGGCGGTTGGGTAAGGAAATTAGTGACCTGAAGGCAACCAATAAAACTTTATCTGACAGCAACCAAGAACTAAAGGGGGCTAGTGACGTGGTGCAACGCCTGTCGCAGGAGAAGGATGACTTATCAAAGTTATTGGATGAGTCTTCAACCGAGAAAAAGGGGCTCCAGGCGGCGAATAGCCAGTTGACTGCCGAGAAAGCTGCCCTTCAGTCGGAGAAGGGTGCGTTATCTGTTGAGTTGACTGGCGTATGTGGTAACTTGCATGCCGCCCAAGAGGATTTTAAAAAAGCTTCTGGGCGAGTACAGGAGCTGGAGCTTGCCTTGCCTTCAGTTTTTTATGATTCTTTTAACAACGCCCTGAATCAGGTTCAATTTCGATATCCTAAGATAGATGCTTCGGGCTTGAGTGCCGATTATGTGGTGGAAGGGAAACGCCTGCTTCATAAACTCTATAATGGCGAGACAACTGTGATAGAGGAAGGGCCTGACTCTGATGAGGAAGAGGATGATGTAGAGGAAGAACCAGCCAAGTTCGGTGACTCACCTTTAGGCGACCACCATGTGCTGAGCGGAGAACAACCCGTAGATGGCGAACCTACTGACGCCGTAGAGATCCCGTCGTGCGGATCCCATCGTTGGCGATGGTGTTATTGGCAACACTTCCTTTGGAAGGTATTGGTGAGGAAGCTTCATCTAGGAATAACGTTGAAGACACTCTGCGGAGGACGCCACTGAGGGGGTCTTAATAGCTGAAGAGGGAATCCCTACTGAAGATTGCCCAACTTAGTTTTTCTTTTTAACAACTATCTGTGTTTGCCATAGTTGATTCGCCACTGTAGAATTGTACTTGTTATTAATCAATGGATAACCTTTCTTTTGGCAACTTCAACGCTTGATTATTGATAAATGATTGTGTAATACGTTTATTAACTGCACGCTGGCTGCAGAGTAATTTGGAACTGTAACACCCTCTCTTGTAGGCCTCCAAGAGAGTTGTTTGCTAAGCAGAATTAGAGTTCTTTAATAGTATTTTAGAGACTGAAAAATTTCGCTTTTACATTGCCAATTAAAACTAAAGAGGGGATCTGATTAATTACAAAAATCAGAGTACACAAAATTTCTTAAACTTATTAAAAATATAAATTTCCTGATAGACCTTGCTGTCTTTAAAAATTCGTATAAAATCCAGTTCAACGATTCAAAAATATATTCTTTGTAATCTGGAAACTAGACATCTGGGACTTCACGTTCATATAAAATAATAGTGATTTGGAGTTCGTTTGCCCCTCGAAACATAACTCGCAAAATAAGAGAGAAAATAGTGGAAATATCACAAATGTCCTGGCTGGTAAAATTCATAATAAATTGATCTTTCAGAATTTCATTGCAAGGTTTATATATAATGAAACTAGACACCTGGGGCTACGCGTGCATACAAATTATAAGAAAATCGGAGGTCCGTAGCCCCAGTACGACAACTTACAAAGTGCTCGCAAAGACTTTTCAAAACTCAGCATTTAGATAACATGTCAAAATCCTTTTGGCAAACGTTTCAACATCTGTTTCCAAAATACTTGCTGGTCATAAAATCGTAATGCAATAATAAAATCGTAGTTCATAGTAATAAAAGCTTCTCAATTTCATACAGTCATCCATAAAATATCACATCAATAGCAGCATGCCCAAACAGTAGAAGCCAACAGCAAATATCCAAGTCCTCAAAAGCTTTTACGTCCTCCTGCCATTTTGTAAAAATAGCAGCCCCAAAGGGGTGAGAGAAAATCCCAGTAGTGTGGCAACAAAACCATAATGCAACAATATTAACTAGGCACAAAATCATAAATAGTCACTTCAAACATTTAATCTTTTTCATCATATATCATAACGCGTATATAACGCCCTTTTTCCTTTACGCTCATAGCACCGTCGTGCGCATAGCATCACAGTGGGTAGGGGTGTAAATGGGCTGGGCTGGGCTTTGGCCATCCTGGCCCAAGCCTACGTAAAAAAAAATGTAGCCTATCTGGCCTACTGGCCTATTAAAGGCTTTATTTGTAGGCCAAGCCCGGCCCATTTTCAAAAATAAGAAAGCCTGACATGGCCTACAGGCCTTGTAGGCTTCCCACTATATATACTAAGCAAAAAAAATAAATTGTATAGAGCAAAGAAAGTTTCATTCATCCATGCACTAGTACTTCTCATAAGAAAAAGATGACAAACAAGAAAGAGTCAACATAATACCTCAGCTCTAGAATGTATATCATAGAGGAATAAAGTCAAAGAAATGAGAAAAATAAGAAAAATACAATTACTGGATGCTGAAATAAAGTCTACAAGAGAATGTCATTCATTTAAAAATCTTTAAACCACCATCAAGACAAGGGAAAGAAGAGTATTATTGAAAGATCTTCATCAGTAACATCATAATCCAGCAAGGTACCCATTGCTCCATGGTATTAAGCTGCAACAGCATGTAAAATTTGGAGACATTAGACAAGTTTTTCTTTCATAAAATAAAATAGCACAAAAAGTAAGAGATATTGGTATTTAGTACTTTGTGTCTTTGCCACATAAATTAAATAGGCCAGCCTACAAGGCTGTAGGCCGGGCTTGACAAAATTGGCCTATGGCCTATTTATTAAAAAAGCTTTTTTATAAGCCTAAGCCTACTCTACTTTTCTGAAAGGCCGAGCCTGGACTGGGCTTAATGTAGGCCGGGCCGTAGGCTGGGCTGGGCCAGCCTGGCCCATTTACACCCCTAACAGTGGGTATTCCTAATGGCTCCCATAAAGGTGAATCCCACTGTGGAACCTATGCGGACTGAAGCCAAGTGTCCCCTCTCCTGGTACCAGGCATGCCTATATGATGCATGCTCAGTCACATGTCCTCAATACAAATATATATATATTCAAGATGTCATGAATCACGTATACATGCCATGTTATGCAATCGCACCCAACAGAAAAATGTATTATGATGTAAAATGCATGCATATATCATATCATCCTTTCATATTCTTACCAATGGCTCATCATCATCATAACATACATAGAACAAATGTGAGCAACACATCACAATTCCATACACTAGCCAATAGTCACATTAGGTAATACCGCCTACACATACCTTGGCACTTTAGCTATTTAAATCAAGCATTCCACAATTATCTAAACAGCAGTGCATAAGTCCAACGTTTCAAGAATGTTGTGCACCTAATTTAGAGGCATAACAAATCAGCATACGTTTCACTTTATTTCAATAATTAGCAACAAGACCTCAAGCCTACATGTCCTTATACCACTCGGCCATAAGGGTTCTTTTTCTAAAATTATTTTTGACTCTCATTTAACCTTTATAAATTTTTATCAGTGAGAAATTCTTTTAATATTTCCAATATGGCAGAATCGGTTTTCATGCTTCTCCTATGGAAAATTCCTAACTTTAATTTTTATAAAATACAGCAGCCCCATCCTACATTAATCAGTGAAAATCCTAGCACCCACATCCTATATAGGTTCGGTTTAGGTTGACATTATATATTTGCCATTTAATTAATTACACAGCCATTACCTACAAGGACAAGGATGTGCTCAAGAGGCATAAAACATGCTATTAAATTTATTTAATTCATGTAAGGTTGATACTGAAATATATTCCTAAACCCCCATTAAATTCAGATTTGGTTTCTTAGGCTAAAAAGTGCTCATGATCTATTTATATTTTTGTCACATAATCATCCCTATTAAACCATGGGTGTGCTATAGATACCTATAAACAGGTTGTCCATCTAGTTAAAAAAAACTTAAAACACAACCAAGCTCACTAAAACAGAATCGGTTTAATCATACTAAAGCTCAAGACATTAATTCAAAATTTCAGCTAAACAAAGCCAAGGGTGCGTGAAGGGAAACCTATTTATCATGCTGTCTAATTAGTTTAAAAACAGACTTAGCATACCCCCAAAATTACCAAACAGAATCGGTCCAAAAATGTTAATGACAATATATTCTAAAGCTCACTAATCCTTAATAGGTGCGTTAAAACAGAGGGTTTTAGGCATGCTGTTTTATTATTTTGATTTACCAAGAATATTTGATGCACTAACCTATAATCAAACAGCCCCCAAAGTTCATCAAGAGATCATTTCAAAGCTTTTTTTTTTTATGCTTTCAATTATGGTCCAAGAGCATAGCATGGCAGAATCAAAGAATATAAAATAACTAAGAGGGTTATTTCCTAAGTATGCCTTACAATTTGATCAGAGGAAAGAATAGAATGTTTTGGTGCCTACCTCTTGTGAGTTCACTAGGAAATCGAATGGAACAAAGGAGCAGCACACTCAGCTCTTCAACGATGGCTGTGCGCACCAAGGGAAAGAAGGATGTTCTAGAGTTCAATCCTCTTTACTTATGGACCTTCGACTGAATTGGGGAGGAGAGGAAGGAATGTAGCTTAAGCTCCAAAACTTCTTGCTTGTTGTTGCACGGTTAAGTAAGATTAGAGGAGAGAAGATATGCTCAAGTGTCTTGCTATTTTTCTTTCCTATGGAGTTCACGTCCTGTGGAGGAGATGTGAGAAGGAACATGCAAGCTTTGGTCCCCTCCTTTAATATGTCACGGTCTTTGTGTGGGAGGTGCGGATGAGATGGAGTTTTATGTTTCTCTCTAATGTTTCTCATGGTCAAGAGAGGTGGGAAAGAAATGGAACGAGTCAAGTTTGTTTCTGATTCAATGAGATAAACATTTTGCTTGCTGCTCACTCATTCAGCGCCCAAGGAGAGGAAGTGTGAAAGTTTGAAGGCTGATGGAGGGTGGATAAGTTATCTAGCCTTAGAGGATGAGTTGTGGGTCACAAAAAGGGGCCTTGGCCTATGCATGAAAAGGGAGCTTCCAAGTGTCCTCCTTGAGCCAAGGTGTCGTGCATGCAAAGGGTGGAAGAGACTTTGTTTGACACACAATAATCATGCATTGGCTGATTTGGTTGTGATAAGGTAGCCAACCAATCAGAATTTTCCTACACATCCTAGGCGTACATTTAGAGGAAATAAGGATGGGTTTTGGCCATGTGGAGATCACTAACCAATTAGGAGTTGCCTTGTGAGATTCTTAAGATGAGGTTAGGATAGATAAAAATATTGGGCTGAACCTAAAATGTTCCTTAAGGCCCTTGGCCATTCGGCAATCACATAAAAAGAAGCCAAAAATTATAAGCCCAATGGTGTTACTAATTTATGTATTAGCTCATAAAATTATAAGTTCCCAAATTTTTTAAGTATTTTTTTTTAATTTTTGCTATATGTTATCATTAATTTATTCCTTCACCTCTTAACTAAAATTTCACAGGCCTAAAATAATTACTCACTTACCATGGTGATTCAAATAATTCCCTAACTTGAATTAATTCCTTTCTTGGAGAAAGTAGCTATATAATCCGCAAACCATCCATGTATCAACACATAAGTCAAATTCCACATGTATCCATATTCCTCATGGCAATATATGTATATACACATATTTTCCTAATTTAGTGGGATGTTACAAAATGTCTCATTTTTAAAATTAAATATTTATTTTCCATTGCAACATGAATTGGTTCCATAATCTAATTTAATTCCTTCCTAGCCTATACAAGAGCATCATTTTGAAATAAATGTCCTACACCTTCCTAATCGTACTTTAAATAAGGTTCTAGTTAGACGGGATGTTACAGGAACTTCCTCCAATATCTATGTTTTTTTTTATCTAATGTTAAATATACATCTGAGAGATTTTATATATTTATTTATTCTTTATTGATGACCCTTGCCATTAAGGATAGAAATTTTCATGAAAAAACCAAAATTTGAGCATGCTCTAACGTCACATAATGGAGTAGCTGGAAGAACTGATTGCGCCAACGGATCTTTTGATTCTTGACTCAAATTTACCTGAAACCTGCTAATTGAAATATAAAATTGAACTTTGGCCATTCAATCATTAAAGAAAACCAGTAATAAAACAAACACTTTGCAAAATCAATGAAGAAATATATTCTGGTAAATCCACATGTCTGATGCGAGAGAGAGAGAGAGAGAGAGAAAGCAACAAGAGAGCCACATGAGTTAGACAGTGATGAGAGAGCGAACATAGTCCTGACTCCTGAGAGAGATGATAGAATGAATAGCATCATTAGCATGTGCAAATGAAGAGAGTGATGGCCAGAGTGATAGCTTGTGGGTTGAGATAGGACAATAATTTTCCCCTGACTTGTTATTCCCTAAATGGGGGAAAGTTTTCCTTCCTAGAAAAATTACTACTTTCTGTTACTGTATATGCCAAACTTCCATTTTTCCCCTTCTAAAACTTGATTCTATTATGACTTCTCCCTATATTACCCCCACGCCAAACATACCCTAGGGGTGAAAAATTAAAACAAGAATTTTTTTACAGTTTTTTTTATATATAAATATATTCCCCAAAATTTTCATCTCTGCTTTGAAGGATACAACAAACTTATCCCCCAAAACTCCACTGTTTGTGATGCTTGATAACTTCTCCTTTTGTCTCAGTGGAAGAAAAATTATATTCTGTAAATTATCTTATCATTGGGATAATCATCTTCCTTTTAGTAATTCCTTGTTGTTGCTTTGGCCTATTTTTCTCGGTATATTTCAATTTTTACTTTGTTTACTTGATAATTTTACATTGATTTTATGTTCGTTTTAATGGAAGTATCAATTTATCTAGAGTTAAATCATATTTTACTAGTTTTTAACATTTTATCTTGATCTACATGTATTTTCTGTAGGAGAAAGGATCTGAGGAAATTGTTCTTAAAGCAATGGGACGTGCTATAAATAAGACTGTAATGATTGCTGAACTGATCAAGGTTGGAGGATAGAGATCTTTATGTAATATGTTGGTAGTCTGCATTTGTTTATCTTTCGTGACTGACCTGTTTACTTGTTTCAGAGAAGGATTGTTGGCCTGCATCAGAACACTCTAATCGGATCAACTGATATAACTGACATGTGGGAACCGCTAGAAGAAGGCCTTCTTCCGTATGGATTTTGTTTCTTTTATGCTACCCCATTAAATCCTTAATTTCTGTGTGTATGGGATTGATTGTTCTCATTTTGTGTTTTACTTGATCTGTTTGGAGACTACTCGCCATGTTTCAATGATCACAATTACCTTGTCAAAGAAAGAACTGGATACATCCTCCACTGGGTAAGAGCTTGTGTGATGTTGTGTGACATCTTTATCTCTTGAGTGTAGTTGTTAGATGCTTTGTATTTTAATGGGCTTATTTATTTATGGGACATGCTCCTAGATCACTAGTTAAGATTGGCTTCATTAGTCTCTTTGATAAATCATGATCATTTATGATTTTTGATGAATTGTGCTCATAAATAAAATGTTTTCCCCACTTCTGGTAAATCACTTGTGCAAAGTTTATTTATTTTTATATTCAATACAGCTATAAGTTAGTAACTCTTTTTTCCTTGCTCTTGTAGTTCTACAAGTTATGGGTCAAGATATAAGTGCTAAATATATAGTAATGCCATGGTGTTACTTTGTTTCAGAAGTAAATACTGTATTATATTTTGCTATGGATGATCAGGAGAATATGACTTTGTTGTCCCACAAGTTTGATATTGTTTGTCAAATTGGGAATGGGAGAGGACAAAGAGGTTTTTATTAAAACACCTTTAAGTAAATTATTAAAACTCTAATGAAGTTTAACCTCCCTTATTTCAAACACATAATTTCCTTGTTTCTAAAAAATTGGAAGCCTTGTCTTAAATTTTATCATGTACATTAGAGCTGTCAATATGGGCTAAAGCCCTAGGGCCAGCCCATATGCCCCACACCAAGCCCAATTCATTTTTAGCCCTCTGTATAATGAGGTCATTTTAACCCTGAGCCCTGAAAGCCCCCTCATTTACAGGGCTAGGTTGGGGCCAGCCCGCGGTTCATCTATTCACATTTTTTCTTTTTCAGACCTTATATTGTTTTCCACGATTAGTCACGATTTTCTCGAGAAAATTTTCGATTCCCTTCTCAACAGCTACTTTCGTTGTTATTCTTCAAAATTTGGGAACCTGCTATCAAAGCCTTTCAATTCTATAGATGATTCACCAATATCGATCGATAATATAAAAGTTCAAAACCTTAGCGTCGTTTAGATTTGGCAGATTCAATTGCTTATAGATTACATATAAACTATCAGTAAAGTAATGGTGAGTTTCTATTCCCAATGGCTTAATCATACTTTATTTGGTTCTGTTTCTCAATTGATTGTATTTGTTTCTTCTTTTTTCATTTGGGGTTTGCATATTAGTATGCACTCTATTCGGAAAGGGCTGATGAAAAAATTTACGTGTGGGTCAGTGATTTTTCTTCTCTTCTTTTCTTACAAATTCCATCTTCTCACGCTGCTGTTTCATGTATTAATTCAGTTTCTCTGATATTCATTCCTTTGCTTAATTATTGAATCATTGCTTCTTCTTTTTTGTTTCTTTTTAATTTTATCAATGAGCTTTCAATTTCAAATTTCTGCACGACTTAGTGGTTCCTTTTCTCTTTGTTTGGTTGCTGAGAAAATGGAGGAAACAGAAACAAAACTTTCCTATATGTTTTCTGTTATTACCTGATTGAGTAATAATCAGTTTCTTTTTCTTATAATATCTCGAAAAATAAAATATAGAGAGAAAAAAATAGACACCAAAATAACAGAAAGAAAGAACCCTAAAAAAAAGGGAATGTTCTACTATACATGCATGTTACAAGCATTGACACATTGATCCAGAATGCTAATTTCACATGTTTTTAAGGGTTACATTTTTTAAGAGTTGGATTTTTTTTATATTTTTTGGGTGTTTAAATTAGTTTTAGGTTATTGGGTGTGTTCTCTGGCGACTATTTTTTTTTTAAGCATAGAAGATTGAGGTTCTTTTTTTGAAAATGGAAAAAAAAAATTCTTGGATTCTTGAATTGATTTTAGCTTATTGGGTGATTTTTTATGGGTGATTTATGTGAACATGGAAAAAGCTTGTGATAGTGTGGGTGGTTGTTGGTTTTTTTCTGAGTATTTTTCTTCCTGGATTTTCAGTGAAGAGGAAGTTAAGAAGATTTACAATGTTTTCTGTGAGAGATACTTTGGATTTGGATGTGAGATTGATGAGGACACCTCTAATAAGCTTGAAAATCTATAATGGAAGTGTTGTATGGCTTATTGTTAGTCCTTTTTTTGTTGCATTTGTCTTTACTCTTTTTGTTTCTCTTTGAACAGCTGTAGTTCTGTTTGTTCTCCCAGATTCATATGTTGATCCTAAATACAAGGACTACGGTGGTGAGGATCCTTTTAGTTTTTGGTTTTCTCTTACCCTCATCAATCTTGAACTTGCTGTGATAACTTCTATTGTTTTGGATTTTGATGGGGGTGAATTGCAGATGTTCTTCTCATATTCTGGGGTATGTTGGCATCAGCTACAGTTCTCCCACACTTTATTCTGCAATCAGCAACCTTGCAAGTTCCCTTGCCTATCTTAATATTATATTTGACAAATTCTTAATTTTTTCTTTGTTCAGCTTTTACTTTTCTACTTGAGGATAGGATATGGATAATATATATTTAAAAATTCTATCAAGCCTACATCATATCTTCAAAGAAAAAAAAATTCATATAATATGGCAGAAGTACAACTCCAAGGGGACCTGGTCCATTGAGAGCTCCACCACTCTCCCTTTGACTTTACCCTTGATGTAACAATTTCAAAAATGTTATTTCCACAACATTCTGGTTACCATTTTTATACCAGTTAAGTTTGTGCAAGTTTTTTTCATCACCATTTTTATAGGGGTTTTATGTTTATCATGTAACATGATATAACATCACTTTCCTACACACACATTAAAGAGGTGGGATCCACATGTTTTTCTTTCTCTTTCATCATTCCACTTTCTCTCTCCATTTTTTTTGTGTGTGTTGGAAACAACACTTAAATTATGTAACATAACACTAATAAAACCCTTTTTATAGGCCCTAGAATCAAGATTTTAATTTGCTTTTCATCACCAAGTTTAAACATTGACATCTTAGAAAGTGTTTAGTTTTCATCCGCCACATTATTATAAGAATACCTCCTCTCATGTGATATTCAAGAAAAGCAAAACTTGTTAGCAACCAATTTTAATTTTACCATTGATACTATCTTAGTCTATTATCCATTCTTATTTTGTTTTTTCTTATCCTATTACACCACAATTTAAGGATGGAAAAGATAGTTGTAAGAAGTAGAACTAACTTAGCTAAGGTTTTGGAGAGCATTATATCAATATCAGGTGGACTTATAGTGACCTTCTACAAAAGCCATTCGATCATCATTGCTAATAATTCCTCTTCCTTTCAACTTCCACAATCAAATGGCATTCTTATTTCAGTAGATACAAATTGGGCCATTGGTGGCCTTCTACTCACAGCTTGCAATATACTACTTACAGTATGGTTCATTGTCCAGGTATATATTTGTTGTTGTTATGTATGCATATATTCAATAAGGTAGTTCTCAAATAATTTTGAATTCTGATATTCATGTAGCAGGTGGAAATCTTGAGGGAGTTCCCGGATGAACTAACTATGGTCTTTTTTTACAACATGTGTGCAGCCATAGCAGCTGCAACTGTTAAATGGTGATATATGTTTACAACCAGCATTTTTCTTGCAATATGAGGATAATAAGATTGGGGATACATTTTTACCTGTCTAAGTTTTCAAGCTGGGTTTCTCCATGAAGTAATATAATGTTAAGCGTCCTATACATATTGGTTAGGATCAATAGTGACATGCGAGATTTAGCTTTGCTTGGAGATTATTTTTCTTGGAAGTCTTTCTTGATATTTCACATCTTCTTGGAGAATGGAGATTATTTTCTTTCTGTTCAACCGAATTGGAATTGGTGCAGTTGATAAATAATTGTTAGAATTGCTCAGATTCCCTTGATTCAATGCTTTTTGACTTTAATTCCTTGGTGACTTCTTGTTCATGCTTCAAACCAGATTGGAGTCCTCTTTTTTATGGAAAAAAATTACATATTAATTTTTTGAAAGGCCCGCGGGCTGGCCCTAAACCATAGGGCTTTTGGCCCATGTGGGCCTATGTCATTGTGGGCTTTATGGCCCTGCGGGCTTTTTGGCCCTAACCCACACGGGCTAGGGCTAAATGGGTCGGGCTGGCCCGTTTTGACACCTCTAACGTACATTCCCTTTTTTTCTTGTTAAATTCTAAACAAAGGGTTGTTTATGTTATTTTAGAAAAAGTCAGGTCTGTATAATCTCATTAAACGTGGAGAGGAGCATGTAAATTTACTTGACATGTTTCTTTGTTTGGCATTTGACTTCTAATTTGTACCCTGTTTTTCAAATACCATGTTGAGGACGAGGGAACATATTAGTTCTTTGAATTCAAGGAGTGAAGTAAATACTGTGTCTATCATGCTGTTGTACTTATTCCCATATGACTTTCGTGCAGACTGATGGAAGGTTTCAACTTCATTAACTTTATAGTGTATCAGTTTCTGTTGATTATAAGTTTGCACTTTTCGTTTTTTTTTCCTCTTCTAACTTTTGGCTCCAAATGGATTCTATTAAATATTCAATTCTGTATATTAAGGTCCAGTCATGATCTACTAGTTCTGGTTGTCTTCTGTATTATGTTTCTACAAGCTTCTGTACATGCAATCAGTTGTGTTGACAAAAAGAAGATTTTTTGGGTGTCTCAGTTAGTTTTGCTTACATTATTTTGCTAGACTGAAATGAAAAATTCAAGCAACAGTAGTATGGTTTATACCTGGGGTGAATCTAGGATATAATACTTTGTTTATTTATTTATTTTTGGGGGTGGGGCTGGGGGGCAGCCCCCATGCCTCTCGTTAGACTGGTTGAGTTCTTTTTAATTATATTCATTGTTGGTATTTTAAGTTCCTTTTTTTTTTCCTCATGCAGATACCAACCTCCTATTCCAGTTGATCAAGTAAAACCTTTAAATGAATATGAAGAGGAAGGAGGTGAGTTAAAAGTTTTTTCTTTTAATTTTTAAAAAAAAGTGAAATAAGTGTTTATTATGGCATGTTTACTATAGTTTGATCTAATACAGAAGGCTCACCAAGGATGCGAGGAAGAGGGCGTGGGCGTGGTCGTGGAAGGGGCAGGGGTAGAGGTATTGCCAAGTACTTAGTTTCACTTATTTCACTGTAATTGGCTGTTCTATAGATTATAGAATGTTCAGAAATGGTTTGTTGAACTCCTTATTGTGGAATTTTTAAAGATGCAAAAGGTGCTTATTAGGATATAATCTTTTATGCTTAGGATTTTACAATGGGGGTATGGAAAATGGTGATGGCTGGGATGGTGGACGTGGCTATGGTGGCAGAGGGCGAGGCCGTGCAAGGGGTCGTGCTTTCCGGGGACGGGGACGAGGCTATGGTGTCCAGCCGGTTGGGTACTATGACTATGGTGAATATGATGCGCCACCTGCCCCACGTGGTAAGCATGCAAGTTCATGAAATTTAGATTTGTAGAAAATAAATTTATGTTGTGATGCCTAAATTACATTTGTTGTATTATCAGATGAAATATTGATTGATGCCAGGTGTGTGCTGGCATAGTGAATGGATTTGTGTTTTTAAATGTGCTATTTGCATTAGATGGTGCTTCCTATTAAATCAGGCTACGGAAGATACAGAAGAAAATTCATTTGAATTCATCAACTGTTTTCCTTGTCTTTTTAATTTTCCTCCGTGCCTTTTATTCCTTCTTTTTCAGCATTTTAAAGTTCTCTTCCTGCATGCTACTTGACTGAACATTATAGTAATTTCTGTTTGATGATTTTGCAGGTCGTGGACGTGGAAGGGGAAGAGGCCGGGGACGTGTTCGTTATGAAGGCCGGGGAGCAGCTGCTTGATATATGATGTTGGTTATCATGTGTATGTTCTGTTAGATGGTTGTCCTTCTGCATATCATTTGCGTGATCTGCTAATATTTTGGTATTATTTGCAACGTTCAATGTTGCAGCCATGTTCCTGCAGTTTTGTTTTTGTAGTTTTTCTTTGTAACCTCTATAATTTTGCCTAGATCGGTAGGTGGAGTTAGATATATTTCATTTGTTTAAATACTTAAAAGAATTAAATTGTAAATTTTTTTAATAGGAATTATAGCAGTAAGTTATTTTCGAAGTTTTTAGGTGGAAGTTTCATTTCTGTTGAAATTTGGATAGGAATGAGGCGTCATAGATTACTCTTTTTTACTGAGCAGTTGAAGACTCTAATTTTCTGGTTTATCTATTCTCTCATAACTTTTTAAGTCTGAGCAAATGAAAATTTGAATTCTATGTCAGCTACTTTAGTGCATCACCTTCATGTGTGAGCATCATTGATATCCCATTAATTTAAGTCATTACAGAAACCTTGGTTTACTTTACTTCGAAAAGTCACTTGAAAATTCCAGGCATATGTTTTAATTACAACATGGAGAGAGGAAATTAATAATATTACTTTATTTGGATTATTTATTTTATTTTGTATTGAGAGCGAGAAAATTATTTTATCAGTACATCAGCATGGCCGGTGTTTTGCATTCCCTAATGTTGTGGTTTTCTTGGATTAATCATTGTAATATTCTATATATTAAATTATAGTTTTAGATTTTTTTTTTGGGAACATTTTTTTTAAAGTTCATCAAATTTTTTTGTTTGGATTAATGTTTCTCGTGTTATAAAAGATATTTTTATTTTATATATATATATATATATATATAAATATCTAAGATTTATATTTTAATTTTTTTTTCCATATAATATCATGGGTTTTAAAATTATCTCTTATAATAAATAATCACATGGTTGACCATTGTCACTTAGCAACAGAACACATCACAACCGAAAGATAGTTTGTAAAGTTATATATTAATAAAAAAATGCAGGTTATATTTACAAATTTTTTTGTTTACAAACTACACTATATTCTCCCGGGAGAATACAAATTTTTACAAACTACACTATGTTCTTCCGGGAGAATACAGTGTAAATTGTAAAAAAATTCAAAAAAATTTGTAAACGGATCCTGACCCTAATAAAAAAAGGGTGTGAAATATTTGGCAAGTTAAGTATTCGATTCGCTGATCTTAAAAATATTCTTCGGCGTACTCAACCCGTTAAGAGATAATGCTGCTTCACATCACTTGTTTATGGATTAGTCTATACAAGATAAAAATATACCGAAATTTCAAATTTTGTGGGTATCAAATAACTCAGCCAGCCACTTAAACGGGTACTAAAATTACACTCTAAGGAAGTTTGATCGAGAGTGAAGGAAAATGGACTTGTATCGTCAGCACATGAAACAGCAGGAGAGTCACAACTTTAAATCCTCAGGGAATCATTATCCTCAGGGAATCATCTTTAAATCCATCCTGCAAAGTTTACAGTAATTAAGCAAGTTAGGGCACAACATATTTAGAAACTGAACTGCGAATACCTCTGCTTTAAAAAACAAAAGAAAATCACAATACTAATTCAGTAAACCATAACAATTCCCTGAACCTAAAACTAGGTCATAGGATCTCTAGAATACTTACTAGAGAGTAATTATTAACTAGAAAAAGATATATATTATCAAGAGTTAAAACAAGCGGTCTACTAGTGCACTCTTCCTCTTTATCCATCATTAAAGGAGGAGAGTCACAACTTACCATTTAATTGTAACTTATTCTATTAAAAAACAAGGGTGTTGCCAACTCCCCAAAAGATTGTAACAATAATAAGCTCAGGGAGAATGATAAGGCTATGTGCTTGCCTAGTCCAAGGACAATGAAACCTCAAATTCTAAATAAACAACATTTCATTATCACGATAGAATTACCTCAGCAAGCATTTGATCAGCCTCATCAAAAACAAGAATCTTTAACCTTGTCACCCCAAGTTTCTTAAAATTCATCCACTTATTAATCGTGCCAGGGGTCCCAATAACCAATTGAGCCATAATCGGTGCCCGTTTCGCTATCGGCAAAGCATCCCTACTGTCTGCTGGTATAGCACATTCTGAGCTAATCCCCGTGTACTTTCCCTTCTTTCGGAGAACTTCAGTATTCTGCCACACAACACAATAATCATCAAGCTACAACTAACACAGTCACAAATCACAATGTTCGATAACAGTGATTAACAAACGAATAAAAAAAAAGGAAAGTTCACCAATGCCGGTTTGTTTTAGAATCATCTATGGCCCAGTGTTTTTTATCACATATGTCCCATTGATTTGTAAAAAATAAAAAAATCACGAGGAAAAGTTCGATAATAGTGATTAACAAACGAATAAAAAAAAAAAAACAAACAGGAAAGTTCACCGAAGCTGGTTTGCTTTAGAATCACCTATGGCATATGTTCGATGGTTTGTAAAAGTAAAAAATCACGGGAGCAGATAAAAAAACATATACTTTTGCAAACCACACGAGTGATAAAAAATAATCAAAGGCATAGGTGATTTTGCAGTAAATGGTTTGTTTTAGAATTACCTATGTCTTGTGATTTTTTTTTTATCACATATACCCATGTGGTTTGTGAAAAAAAAATTACAGCTGCATGTGTGATAAAAAACATAACTTTTTGCAAATAAAATAACTCTTAAAATCACAGGAGCCACATATCAAAGGGAAATACAAGCTTTTTAAACACCCAAAAATTTTAAAGAAAAATTTGTTGCATGAATTTTAAATTCATCTTCAAGCTCTGCTTAAAGTTTCAAGGCAATGGCAATAGTATATGGAGACTTTGAGTTCGAACCGCCATTGCTCAACTTTCTTTTTTCTTGCTCTGTGAGTTTGTGGTTATAATTGAAGTTGAACATGTTTGTGGTCAGCTGTCGTTGTTCTTCCCTTCGTATTAGAGAGATGTTTCTCTCCGTTTCATGATTAACAAAAATTAACTTGTCTAAGGAAGAAATTTTAGATAAGTATGAAGGGCTGAAGGCCATGCTTTGGAGTTAGGAAGAAATCAAGTGAATACATTATCAACCAATCTTAAATATTAAAAGGTTGGATCATGGCTAGTAAAAGTCCAATTGCCACCTTTTAACTTCCCTTATAAGTGAGATGAAGTTAATTTTCACGCTAGAAGCTGCTTTTTTTCTTTCTTTCTTTTTATCCGGTTTCGGATTTGAATCTGTATCAATAACTCTAAAATATAATTCAATAAATCTCAGTAGTTGTTGAAGATGTTAAAACATAATTCAATAAATTATGTTAAAATATAATTTTCACGCAGGGCATTGCTGAGCTTTTCCAAAAAAAAAGAAGAAAAAAGAAAAACTTCTAGGGCTCACGATCAGATATCCCTTTGGAGGGATATAGCTTTTCTTCCGGAAGTATGGGGCCACCACATATCGTATCCAGCTATTGCATTCTTAGTTATGGGTTATTTAATCCATGATAGAATAAGATTATATGTCGATTTAAAAAAGCAATGTCTTAGAACCTTACCTGAATAGCCAACTCCCTGGTTGGGCAAATGCAGAAAGCTTGAGGAGCCTGCAACTTTGGATTAATTCGACTAAGCATACCAAGAAGGAAACACGTGGTTTTTCCGGAATCGTTATGCGCCTGTGCGATCAAATCCCTATTAGGAGGATTCAAGATCATAGGCAAGGTTACGACGAAACCTGCACCGAAATTCAAAACCATAAACCGTTAATTTCTTGCCGAGAAAGAGAGAAAAGAGAAATCGGGAATGGGGATCGAACCAACCGCTTGGATGTTGGAGTCTTCAGGCTCGTCCAAGAACTTGGGAGAAGGCTTCTTGTTCTCGTAGATCGTTAATCCGTCGACGTTGAGCGATGAGGTTGCTGTCTCGGAGCTCGGCGTTGCGTTGGTTTCTTCATCTGCTTTGTCGGCCCAGCTCTTAGGCGAGGAAGCCGGCGCCGGCGGATGAGCATCGCTGGCGGAGGTGGTTTCGGTGGTGGATGGTTCTGCCGTAGCAGTAGACACGAGACCGAGTGAAGAGTATTCAAAAAAAAAAATTAGCAGTTTCAGAGGGAAGGAGAGGGATTGAGCCTTGCCGTGAAGAGTAATTAAATAAAATAGACATATACTACTAATATATATAAAGAGGGAGGGTGCTAATTTGGAAAGATTTTTTATGGATTGAAATTTTAAAGAATTTCGTAATTCGCAAAAAAAATCTACTAATATTTAATTATGATTTTGAAGGATTGAAAAAAATCACTTAATATTTGATTAAGAATTTAAAAGATTATTTTAGAGTGTAGTCAAATCCGGTGGTATTCAACAAGTATTTTAAATAAAGAAAAAAAATCTTGTGATATCAAAATATATGACGATTTTAGTTAATTTTCTATTAATGTAAATTTTATTAGATTTTTTAGTGAGAAATACAGATATGATGTCTTTTTTACAATCTTATACTAACCTCTATGTTTTCTTAAGATTTCTAATTGCAAAGTTTTTTTTTCTTTTGGCGGGTCTACCCGCTCGAAACCGGGTTTCGCTAGGAGAGCTTCATCAAAGCTAAAAAAATAAATTTTTAAGCGATTTTCATCACAAAACAACACAGAAATAACAATCCAACAAAAGTCTAACCTAATCCATCTCAAAAACATTAGATTTTTTAGAGCTTTTGAAAATTTAAAAAATGATTTTTCAAGTTATAGGTCGCGATTATTCTTAGCACAAAAAGGTATAATTTTTTTTATTAAAATCAACATATTAGACAAATCTAAGACCACTTATAGGCTTTAAAATTCCATGTAGAATTGAATTAAAAAGTCAAAGTTAAGCTTAGGCCATTACTTTGCTTATTTGCAATTTAGTCCCTAAACTTTCACATATTTATACTTTGACCCTTAAACATTATTAAAAATTTCATTTGTGTCTAACTTACTTCATTTAGCATGAATTCTATTATCACATTAATTCTCATGCTACTTCATTCATTTACTTACTAAATTTTGCATCAAATGCTTACTTAGTTCAAAATTAACATAGACTAATAATTAATATTAATTTAATTATATAATTTCAATATTTCCTAATGAGGGTTGTTATAGTTAATGTATAAGAGATAAAGGTAGAAAGGGCAAAGTCAAGAACATAAGGCGTGGTTAAATGAAAAAAAAATGTATATACATAAAAAAAATTGAAAAAAGAAAGAAAAAGAAGCTTGCTTATTAGAAAAGTATTATATTTCATGAATAAAAATGTGTGGAAAATTACAAAGGATGGAGAGTTGAAAAAGAAAAAGAAAATGTGTTTTGCGAATGTGTTATTAATTGATGATTGTTTCTTTTTAAATCTGATTTCTAAACTTATAGCCATTTTTTTATACATTTAATCTCTTCCTTTAGCCATGGTAGTGTTTCTTTAGTGAAGAATGAGTAAAACACACACCCTCAGACACTTGAGTGTGAGTGAGTCAAAAATCCTAGTGGTTTAATTTCCCTACTTTCTTTCTTGAGAACTCTTGTTACAATTCTATGACTTGTGGATTGTGAATATTTGCTTGATTTGATGCCTCATTATTTTTATACATTAAGACTGAATACTCCCTTGATTGTGATATTTATTGATTGACCTGTTGAGATTTCATTAAGCACATGAACTCGTCTCGTTTCCCATAGTTTTGTTTTAATTGATTGCTGGGATAACAATATTCTAAATCTGAAATAAACTCACCTAGAAATGCATGTTTAGGCTTCTGTAATCGGTAAAAGTCGAACTTTTGGATTGATATCTCGCGAAATGCAGAATCTGAGTTCTGCCGCGAAATATCAGGATATTGGGTTAGAAAAATGTCAGACACGACACGTTAGAATTTTTGAAGTGTTGTTGCTTCATAGGTCCGCGCACGTACATAACACATAAAAATCTAAGTAACCAATTTAAGTTGATTGTAATTTCTGCCTACGGTGGCTGATATCCAGACCATTTTCTGTTTAGGTATAATACCAACTGTGTTAAGAATTTTCGAGAACTGTTGTTTCTATTTTTTGATATTATGAAAGTAGTTATTTTAACCTTCTATTTTAAGGATTAATGTTTCTATGTTGTAGGAGATAATTTTATTTTCTACACACACATAAAAATATATAGAGCTCATGTAGAGTCGAAGAGAAGAAAGAGAAAAAGAAAATATGAGCTCTATACACTTTTATATATGTGTAAGAATGTGACATAAAAAATATTAATCCCTTTGTTTGAAGACCAATTACCTGTTTACGTGTTTGAATTATTGTTTCCCTGTTTCCAATTTAAGAAAGGAATGAAAATAGAAGAGAATATTGTACAGACCGTCATCACCGTTAACTAACTATAAGTAATGCTGACGATACAAGTCCATTTTCCTTCACTCTCGATCAAACTTCCTTCGAGTGTAATTTTAGTACCCGTTTAAGTGGCTGGCTGAGTTATTTGATACCCACAAAATTTGAAATTTCTGTATATTTTTATCTTGTATAGACTAATCCATAAACAAGTGATGTGAAGCAGCATTATCTCTTAACGGGTTGAGTACGCCGAAGAATATTTTTAAGATCAGTGAATCGAATACTTAACTTGCCAAATCTTTCACACCCTTTTTTTATTAGGGTCAGGATCCGTTTACAAATTTTTTTGAATTTTTTTACAATTTACACTGTATTCTCCCGGAAGAACATAGTGTAGTTTGTAAAAATTTGTATTCTCCCGGGAGAATATAGTGTAGTTTGTAAACAAAAAAATTTGTAAATATAACCTGCATTTTTTTATTAATATATAACTTTACAAACTATCTTTCGGTTGTGACGTGTTCAGTTGCTAAGTGACAATGGTCAACCATGTGATTATTTATTATAAGAGATAATTTTAAAACCCATGATATTATATGGAAAAAAAATTAAAATATAAATTTTAGATATTTATATATATATATATATAAAATAAAAATATCTTTTATAACACGAGAAACATTAATCCAAACAAAAAAATTTGATGAACTTTAAAAAAAATGTTCCCAAAAAAAAAATCTAAAACTATAATTTAATATATAGAATATTACAATGATTAATCCAAGAAAACCACAACATTAGGGAATGCAAAACACCGGCCATGCTGATGTACTGATAAAATAATTTTCTCGCTCTCAATACAAAATAAAATAAATAATCCAAATAAAATAATATTATTAATTTCCTCGCTCCATGTTGTAATTAAAACATATGCCTGGAATTTTCAAGTGACTTTTCGAAGTAAAGTAAACCAAGGTTTCTGTAATGACTTAAATTAATGGGATATCAATGATGCTCACACATGAAGGTGATGCACTAAAGTAGCTGACATAGAATTCAAATTTTCATTTGCTCAGACTTAAAAAGTTATGAGAGAATAGATAAACCAGAAAATTAGAGTCTTCAACTGCTCAGTAAAAAAGAGTAATCTATGACGCCTCATTCCTATCCAAATTTCAACAGAAATGAAACTTCCACCTAAAAACTTCGAAAATAACTTACTGCTATAATTCCTATTAAAAAAATTTACAATTTAATTCTTTTAAGTATTTAAACAAATGAAATATATCTAACTCCACCTACCGATCTAGGCAAAATTATAGAGGTTACAAAGAAAAACACAAAAACAAAACTGCAGGAACATGGCTGCAACATTGAACGTTGCAAATAATACCAAAATATTAGCAGATCACGCAAATGATATGCAGAAGGACAACCATCTAACAGAACATACACATGATAACCAACATCATATATCAAGCAGCTGCTCCCCGGCCTTCATAACGAACACGTCCCCGGCCTCTTCCACCCCTTCCACGTCCACGACCTGCAAAATCATCAAACAGAAAAAAATTAAAAGAAAAAACTTTTAACTCACCTCCTTCCTCTTCATATTCATTTAAAGGTTTTACTTGATCAACTGGAATAGGAGGTTGGTATCTGCATGAGGGGAAAAAAAAGAAACTTAAAATACCAACAATGAATATAATTAAAAAGAACTCAACCAGTCTAACGAGAGGCATGGGGGCTGCCCCCAGCCCCACCCCCAAAAATAAATAAAAAAACAAAGTATTATATCCTAGATTCACCCCAGGTATAAACCATACTACTGTTGCTTGAATTTTTCATTTCAGTCTAGCAAAATAATGTAAGCAAAACTAACTGAGACACCCAAAAAATCTTCTTTTTGTCAACACAACTGATTGCATGTACAGAAGCTTGTAGAAACATAATACAGAAGAAGACAACCAGAACTAGTAGATCATGACTGGACCTTAATATACAGAATTGAATATTTAATAGAATCCATTTGGAGCCAAAAGTTAGAAGAGAAAAAACGAAAAGTGCAAACTTATAATCAACAGAAACTGATACACTAAAAAGTTAATGAAGTTGAAACCTTCCATCAGTCTGCACGAAAGTCATATGGGAATAAGTACAACAGCATGATAGACACAGTATTTACTTCACTCCTTGAATTCAAAGAACTAATATGTTCCCTCGTCCTCAACATGGTATTTGAAAAACAGGGTACAAATTAGGAGTCAAATGCCAAACAAAGAAACATGTCAAGTAAATTTACATGCTCCTCTCCACGTTTAATGAGATTATACAGACCTGACTTTTTCTAAAATAACATAAACAACCCTTTGTTTAGAATTTAACAAGAAAAAAAGGGAATGTACGACTACAGGATGACTTATCAATGATTGCTGAGTATAGTATTATTGACAGTGATGAGCAGTTTAAGAAGGTATTGCACAATATTCGACCTTCGCATTGTTACAATTAAATATCCACACAGATGCAAGAGACAACCACACAGAAGTATCTACAAATAAAACTTTTCTTTTCTATTCTTGTTTTCCTGCTCTTTTTCTTTTTCTCTTGATCTCTTGATCTAGATTTCATACAAACTATCAAAGGCTATTTATAAGCTATAAAACTGACAAACATAACTCCACACATAACACCTCATTACTTTATAACTGACATGACTGACTCATTAATATTCTAACTGACATAACTGACTCATTAATGTCCACTAACACAAACCTAAGGACATGACTCTTCACCAGAAAACTCTTCACATTTCTATTTTCTATTTTCTATTTTTATCTCATTAAAATTTAACCCAACAAAACTCCCCCTGAAAATTTTAATTCTTCTTTTTTGAATTTTCCATCGGTTGATTTTTTCGCGCTGCTCCCATGTACACTCCTTTCATCAATTTTTTTTTTGTCTCTCTGCTTTCTTCCATTTGGTGGAAGTAGACAATTTTGATTTTTCTCCACTTTTGCTTTAGCTATATGTATGAGTTGAGGCAAC